AGTTAATCCAATAGCCAGACTCAATTAAAGGTTCTTAATTTCACTCGAGTGTTTCTCAAAAATGTTAATTACATCCTTTGGTCTTGCAAACAGGCACATTCCTCTCCATTTGTAGAACCTGGAGAGGCTCAATTGTGTACCACAGGCCAGGAAAATTTAGCATTCAACAAATAGGCTCACTTTAAATGAAAATCTAATTTCCTATGCAAAGTCAGTAACCCAAACACAAGAAACAGAATTCATCTTACTTCTTTTATGTCAGCTGCCTAACTTTCTTTACATCTGGCTTTGAATGTTTCTACAGAGGTGTTTCTTTTGTTTTTGTTTGGTTGAGAATAAGAGAAATGTTGGATAGAAAATAGGAAGGGGAAATGAGTATACTCACAATGGCTCTGATTACTAGCAGACTGGGCAAATGCTTGTGATCTGACAAAAATGATGACGTGTTTGGAATTCTAGGAGCCATTGTCATCTTTCTCCACACTCCTGTGATACAGACCATAACCCCTTGGCTTTAAATGATAAATTAGACTATCATCTACTTTTTTGCATTTTCCCCTGTACTTCTAGTCCACAGGATTTGTCTGTAATTTTATTTTTCAAATTGCTACAAGTCTATACAAACTCTGCATATTAACTGGACTGAAGAAGTTCAGACACATTGTTCAGGGTCAGCTGTATCTGCTCAGCAATGAGAAAAAAAAATCAGAGATAAATAAAAGCGAAGCTCTGATTTTAAGTAGTTCCTGGGTTAGTGGGGACAGATATGTACATATCTGGCTATGAGTGCTACAAAAACAATAAAGTGAGTATTCTATACACATTAAAAGACTTTTATTGTACAAATAGACGCAAGACAATGAAGTCGGTTCATTTTGTTACCTTTCCTTAAAAGTATAGTAGTTGATTCAAGTGAAAATGTGATAATCTGATGGAAAATGGTCATCTTCTTCACTCTTTGTGTTGGCTATTGGTTTTGGTTTTTAAAGCTTTGGAGGTTGTTGACTTTCTGCTTTCATATTTCTTCATGCTGTCTTTTACTTGGTGCTTTTGAGTGTGTAAGGAGATGGTTCTTGGATCAGAACCATTTCAAGGGTTTTTCTTCACTTTTCCCCCTTATGCCTCCCTCCTCAGCTGATCATTTCTTTTGTTTTGCTTCTTGCTTCCCAAGAATGAATTAAAATGGAATTTCTTGCAACTTTTCCTCTGCCTTCAGTTTAGTTGACATCTAATTCTTGCCCCTAATTTCTGGAAGGCTTATGTAGGTATACCATTATTTTCCAACTTTCCAATCTCTATTGCTTTAAAGCAAACCCAACTTTCACAGGTGAAGAGTGACCTGCACACCCCTACCTCAGCTTCCTTTTCTCCACTGTAGGCTCAGAAAGCAATCAGCCTCACTTCATGTGTCCATCCCCTGTCCCATCTCCAGCCTGTTCAGTCAGCGCTTATTACATTTATTTAGTTTAGCTGGGCACTGGTGGCTCACACCTATAATTCTAGCTACTTAGAAGGCTGAGATGTCAGGATTGCGGTTCAAAGCCAGCCTGGCCAGGAAAGTCCGTGAAACTCTTATCTCCAATTAACCACCAGAAAACCGGAAGTGGTAGAGAGCTTGCCTTGAACTAAAGAGCTCAGGGACAATGCCCAGGTCCCACGACCAACAATAAATAATTTTGTGTACATTATTTTTATTCTTCCATATGTCCAAAAATACTAGAAAACTAACAGTTCAGTAGATTGGTAGAGGATACACCAATGAATTCCCAACCTTAACATGCATAAGAATGACCACAGGATTTTCAATGCAGATTCAGACACAAAGCCATAAACTTCGACTTATTAGCTCTGGCCCTGGGATCTGGAGATGGTGGTTAATAATCAGTAGAGTTGATTTTCTGCTGCTGCAGGTGGTTTGGGGACCACATTTTAAGAAACTTCATTTAGTATGTCCCTGCTTAACAGCTACACAAAAAACCTCAGGACTGAGAAGTTGCAGATCCATGCCTGGCTTTTGTCTTCATACAGAGAGATAGTACTGGCTGTCAGTGCCTCTCTCAATTTTTAGGGAAGTTTTAGATTTTTTTGGGTCCGGTCGTGGGGCCTGAACTCTGGGCCTGGGCGCCGTCCCTCAGCTCTTCAGCTCAAGGCTAGCGCTCTACCACTTGAGCCACAACGCCACTTCCGGCTTTTTTCTTTTTGCTTATGTGGTGCTGGGAATCGAACCCAGGGCCTCAGGCATGCAAGGCAAGCGCTCTACCACTGAGCCACCTTCCCAGCCCCGGAAGTTTTAGATTTATAGAGAAAAAAATTACAGAAAAATTGAGTGAAAAGTATTGAGGATTCCCATAGATACCACCCCTTAAAGTCCCCCATATTCTACCTATTCATCCATCCTTCCCTGTCCAAAAATCCTAGGATTCCAGAATGGCATATAGTTGGAACCATAAAATACAGAGCCTGTTTTGACTGACTTATTTCATTTAGCAATATGTTTTGAGAGGTGGGGGAGGGGTATGCCATGTATTTTTTTTCTTAATAGCTCATTTCCTTTTATTGCTGAGTCAAAATAAGTGGAATAAATAATATTCCATTGTGTCACCGTTTCCTTATCTTTTGCTTATTGAGGGATATCTTGATGCTTCCAAATATTGGCGATTGTGTTAGTTTTCTATTACTATAACAAAGACATGAACTAACACACAAAGAGGTTTATTTTGGCTCACAGTTTTGGAAGTTTCAGTACCTTAGGATGGTTCCAGTCTTTGAGTCTGTGGAGAGGGAGAGTCACTGGTCAGGCTCTCAGTGACCTGAAACTTCCCAGTAGGCTCTACCTTCTATACCTTCCACCACTTTCCCGAAGTGCCACCGACCATAGACCAAGCCTTCAGCACATGGCCTTTGAGGGACACTCCAGTTCCAAATTACAGCCTCAGTGATGAATAAGGCTGCTATAGATATTCACAGGCAGGCTTTTGTCTGGATATGTGCTTTCAACTCATTTGGTTCAATACAGAGGAGCACAATTGTTGGAAGCTAACAGACTGCCTTCCAACGTGGCCATACTACTTTGCATGCCCCGCAATGAGCGAGCACCTGTTGTCATGGTATTTATTTGAAGTTTCTCTAATGACACAGGATGTTGAGCATCTTTTCATATTTTTCAGTTTTTATTTATTATTATTAGCATAAGTTAATAGTATAAGGAGAGGGCTGTGGTAATTCCATGGAAAGTGAGCCATTTTTTTTTAGTGTTTCTTTTAGCTCTAATAAATGTTCTTTCTAATTAACACATGTTCACATCAGATAGTTTAAGGAAGCATAGATGATTCACAAAGAAAGAGAGAAAAATGAAATCATGCATAATCCAAAGACAACTGCTCTTACTATATAGGCCAATGCATTTTCAAACTTTTCTAACATTTTCACAGTCATATTTCCAAATCTTTGTATTTTTTTTATTGTAGGCTCATGCCTATGATCTTAGCTATGCAGGAGGCTGAGATCTTAGGATTATAGTTCAAAGCCAGCCTGAACTTTGAAGTCCATGAACACTTTCTCCAATCAGCCATCAAAGGGGGGAAAAAAACTGGAAGAGGAACAATGGAGCAAGTGGTAAATTGATGAGCCATTTTTTTATATGCTTATTTCACATCTGTGTGTTTTCTTTGGTGAGAGGAACAGATCTTTTTACTCATCTCTTAATTGGGCTAGTTATCTTTATTGTTGAGTTTTAGTTGTCCTTTATATCTTTTGGATACCAGTTTTTAATCATACGTATGTTTTACAAAGATTTTTCTCCCTAGTCATGGTTGTCTTTTATTGTTTAATATTGTCTTTCATGAATAGGTTTAATTTTGATAAAGTCCAAATGACTTCTTTTTTTTTTCCTTTCGTAGATCATGCTTCTGATCCTGCATCTAGACTGTATCATCATGAAACTTAAGGCCTATAAGATTTTCTTTTGGAGTTTTATAGTGTTGCATTTTTCATTTGGGTCTGTGATCCATTTTGAGTTAATTTTTGTAAAGTAGTTTTTTTCAAAGTGAAACACTGACTGAATCTAGTATTACTGGTCCTCTCTCCTCTGTTTTCCCCATACTTTTATTATAGAAATGTTAAAACACATGCAAAAAAATAGGAAAAAATATTCTTAGGTAATTTTATTCCTTTAGGTAATTTTATTACTTTAATAAGTATCAACATCTTACCAATTTTCATTCACCTATCATCGTTCCATCTTTTATTTTTACAAGCAGATCCTAGACATCTTTTCATCCATATGTTTTTAATCTTGTTTTTTTTTTGGCCTGTCCTGGGGCTTGAGCTCAGGGCCTAAACACTGTCCCTGAGCATCTTTTGCTCAAGGATAGCACTCTACCACAGTGCCACTTCTGGCTTTTTCTGTTTAGGTGGTACTAGGGAATTGAACCCAGGGCTTTATGTATGCTAGGCAAGTACTCTAGTACTCTACCACTAAGACATATTCCCAGCCCTTCTTTAGTCTTTATCTCTAAGTCATAACGGACACATGGCCATAACCACAATACCATTCTCACACCAAATTAACAACTGCAAATATCATCTATCTCTTAGTCTATTTAAATGTCTGTATTCGTCTGATGTCTCCTGATCCTTTCTAAACCCTAAGTGCTGTTGATTTGGGCTGTCCAAATTAAACATCCTATTCCTTACAGTCTCTTTATTCCTTTACTTCATTGAGACGGAGATGCCAGAAGTTTTTAAGAAAAGTACCAGTTTCCTTGGAGGCTTGGCCTTAGGCTGCTGGTAGAGAAATCTTTATAAAATTCTTGAAAATGATATTATTCAAGAGCTATATGCAAGGGAGATGAGTGAGGAGGAGAGGAGGGGCCGCTGTGGAAGGAGCTCACCCAGGACATTAGGTTTATCACAAAACCCTTTCCATGAGTCATTTAATCTTTTCCATTTTAGTTTTGGGGAGGATATTTAACCTCATAGAATTAAAAGTCCCTTCTTACTTTCGCCAAACTGCTAAAGCCAATGAATATGCAAGTGAAGCCGTGTCCAAATTTGGGGCTCTACTGACCACAGGGGACCCTATTTCTGAGTTATTGCTCTTGATCCCTTCACAGCTGTCTCTGGAGAGAGAAGAATGGAGGGCCAAGTTTCTTGGATGAGGCGCAGTCAGTTTTCTGAGGATGTGGTTGATCCCAGAACATACACAGCTAATTTATAAGAGACTAAGGAAAAGACCCTGCCTTGAGGATAACATATTGAGGATTCCAGGGGTCAAGAAATGACCTCAGTTCACTTGGGAAACTTTCACTGGTGTGAACCAGAGGCCTGCATGGAGCAACAGGCCCTCTACATGCTCCTCATGGTGTTATTTTATCTTTTAGACAAAGGAGCTTAAAGGCAAACATCTTGAAATACAACTCTGCCTCCACATTGGCTGGGATGAAGTGGAGGAGTTGGACGCTCTTTCCTTCTGCCAGCTTTGGTCCTGATCTTAGGATTTAACCATTCTTTTCAGTTTCACAGAATCCAATAAGAGTATATACATATATTAATAAATCCCTATAGAAGTGGATTGTTCTCCTGGTCTTTGAGTCTCTAGAAGCCAATAAATTAAACATTAAACAGAGCCCCAGATTATCTGTCTTCCTTCTCTCTTAATGCGTCTGCAAGCTCATGCATTATCTCACAAGATTGGAATGTGACAGATTCTATTTTAAGTCTTCTGATGATTCTTTCATTTAGCCTTTCTGAGAAGCAGAGTTCAGAAGAATTTGTGTAGCTTAGACTGCCTGCGGTTCACCGCGTCTCCCAGTCCTGGTTTCAAAGAGGTCAGTGTCTTTTTAGGGCCATATGGAGGCTCCAGTGTGTTCTCAGGAGAATGAAATCTTTGTGCTAAGAAACTATCTACAGAGCATCCTTGACAACTCTATTCAGCGATGTAGAGACATGCATTACCCAAAGAACTTTTTGAGTACTTAAATAGTAGGGCTGTTTCAGTGGACCCGATAAACCCCAAGTAATGAAGCTGTCCATTGATATGGAGACTGCTCATTGGCAATGAAACTAGCAGGCAAGGCCTCAAACAAGTATGCTGCCCCAACTTCTTGGAAAGCTAATGCTTCTCACTCTGTCTCCTTTACTGATATCTGCCATCACCGCCATCCATCTTCAGAACTTTTTCCTAAACTGAAACACTGTACCAATTAAACAATAACTCCTCAGTCTTCTACCCAGCCTTGGAAGTCACACACTGTTTGCCCTTTTTGTGACTGGCTCATTTCACTCAATATTCACCTATGTTGTAGCATGTGACCGAATTTTCTTCCTTGTTATTTACAATCTCATTTTGTTTATCCTAATCCGTGCATCCTAATCTGTGGACACTACCTATTGTGAATAATGCTGCTATGAATATAGGTACACAAACAGTACTTTGAGGCCTCTCTTCCTGATTTTCTTCTTGATTTTGACTCCGTGCAACTGCTGGATTCTATGATCATTGTTTCTAATTTTTTGAGGGCTCATATGCTGTTTCCTGCAATGGTGATACCATTTTGCATTCTTACTAGCAGTATTCAGGAGTCCAGTTTTGCTATCTCTTTAACAACATTAAAAAAAACCAGTTATCCTAATAAGTATGTGTCTTCTTGTGGTTTTTGTTCTCATTTTTCTAATGATTATGGGTTGTATATGGATTTCTTGGCCAATTGTATGTCTTTGGAGATGTCTATTCAAGTTGTTTGTCCATTGTTTAGTTTGCTTTTGTTGAGTTGTAGATTTTAAAAAAATACTCTGGATATCAATTCCTTTTCAGATTTTTTTCAGAATCTTCTCTCCCATTCTCCTTTTCACTCTATTGATTTTGTGTATATCTCTGTGTGTGTGTGTGTGTGTGTGTGTGTGTGTGTGTGTGTGTGTGTATGTGTGTAATGTTGATCATATTTCAGAAGCAAAATGTTTAGAAATGGCAGAAATAGGTATTTCATAGACCTGAGCTTTACCACAAATTGGGGCCTTTGATTTGTGATTTTTTAAATTCCCTCCTGCCTCCACAACTACATTCCCCCTCCCCCAGCCTAAATTGTAAAGTTCGTTTTTCAACATAGTTTCTTGTGCATCTCATTGTTACAATGGGTCAACCTGTATCTCTATTTAAACATTTTGTTTTTTCCCTTCCCCTCCCAAACTAGACAGACATCAAATACAGTGAAAACAGGGGTTATACCATGGGGGAGGAACATACAAAGCAACAAAAAAAAATCACATGGTACCTTATAAATACGTTAGAAACAATAGCAAGCAAGAAAAAACCACTTATGTCCCTATCTTGGGGTTCATTTCGCTTAACTTCATCTTATCTGTTCATATATACATAGCTTTTGACCTTTTCTACTTGTCTCAGACATATCCTCGTTATTGCAAATAAGGGAAACCATGGGACCTACTTTTCTTTGGGCATGGCTTACTTCACTTAATATAATTTTTTCCAAGTCTTTCCATTTCCTAACAAATGGGGCCTTTGGTTTGTTTTTAACTGTTGCTGTTTTCTATTTTATTTTAACTGTCACAGAGGTGATTGTTTGTGCCATGAAGATGGAGCAACTTTTGAAAAGGCCTATTAAAACCTCAAGACTATCAGACTTGGGTAAATGAATTCTTTGTTATACTAATAATCCTGCTTTTGTGATGTGATTTTATATGAAGAAAATAGAATGTTGGTCCTTGTAAGATGAACATGGGATTTGAGTGTCAACCAAAAGGATACTTGAAATGAGAGTTTTAGATCCCAGGCTGATACTCATGTCCAGCCACTTGTCTATATCAATGGGCTAAATAGACAGTAATGTTGAAGGGAAGAAGGGATGAAGGATGGGAGAAGTGACTCCCAAAGGGGAATGGCTTTGCCTCTCCCCATTGCTATGAGGATTACATGCAGCAGTGGAGATAAGGTACCTTCAACTTCTCTGACCACATAAAGGGTTCAATCCTGAGCCAGATTTTTTCTTTCATCTCATTTCTCTTCTCCTTCAGTCCCCCCTGCTCATTGTTAGCTTTAAGAGAAAGACAGAAATCTAGAAGCATTACTCATACCCCCTTCCACCCTCCTATAAAGATATAGTTTGTTTCTTCCACTCCAGGTTACTTTTTGGACTTGTATAGTCCTAGTTTCCACAGAGCACTTGAGATTTCCTTGACTTCGCCAAAAAGTCCTTGATTTAAATTGGAGAATATATTTTTATGGCTAGTCCATTGATGTCAACTATGAACAAAAAGCTGAGAAATCCTGAGGGGAGGGGAGTATGCTATTTTTACAATATCCTGCTCCAAAAATCATTTGTCTCAGTGGCGTGACAGTCTCTCCACAGAGACCTCCACAGAGCAGCAGTGGCCCCGGGCAGCTCTCCACCCATGGCTGGCTGTGAGCTGTGAACTCCACAAGATGTTTCTCGCCATCAGCGCATGACTTCAGTTTTTCCATTCCCACTGTGGTGAAAATGAACGAGAAAACTGGACCCTGCCTCAGGAAGCAGCATACAGGCTCCACACCAATCAAAGCAGGAAGATACTGTGCTAGATACTACTTCATTTTCCAGACTTTGAAGAATTCTTACATTTGTCAGAGTAGCTCTGAATCATTTTGTGGTTGTTACTGGATTCGAATGGGGATATTATACATGCCTGACCCTTTGCAGGAAAAGTCCCTCTCCCTTTTCATGAGCTCTTCCTGCTTCCTGAGCTAATCTCGTACTTTCACTTCTTGGTCTTCTAATCATTTTACCAACATGCATTTTAAAGGAAGAGAGGCTGGGATTTAAAATAAAAATAGAGGGGACAAAGTTATGGCTGCACATAACATATATGCATATGTTACATATATATGCACATATATGTGTGTATATGTGTGTATATATATGTATATATATATGTTACATATTGTCCTTCTTAACACACGAACTCTTGAATATAACAAAAGTCTTATTTTCCCCAAGTATCTATCTCCAGCAGATTCTCTTAGGTTTTATCAGCACCATCAACTCTTCTGGCTTTCTTGGACTTCAACTCTTCTCTAAGCAGATCTCAGCTGCTTGGGTTTTGGAGTTGTAAGCCATTCATTGATTCATTAATTAATATTTATTTTTGGGTTGGTACCGGGGTTTGAACTCAGGCCTCCCATCTCATTCCCAGCCATTAAAAAAAAATCTGTTTCCCAAAGAAACATAGGTCCCATGATGTCTCGTATTTGCAATATCTAGTATATATATGAGTCAAGCAGAAAAGGTCAGATAAGGTGATGTTAGGAAAATGAACCTTAAGATATGTATTTTAAATGTTTTTTTTTCTTTCATGTGATTGTTTCTAACACATTTATAAGTTTATTTCTTTGTTGCTTTGTATGTCCCTCCCCCACAGTATAACCCCTGCTTTTACTGTATTTGATGTCGGTATAATTTGTGGGAAAAACAAGTTGTTTAAATAAGGATACAGGTGGAACTGTTGCAACAATGAGAAGTACAAGTTGTCATGTCGAAAACGAACTTTACAACTTGGGAGGGGGGAGGAGGATTGGGTGGGGGGGGGAGGGGGGAAGGGAAGGGGTGGGAAGGGTAAACAAAGGAGGAGGCTACAATGCTTGATAAGAAATGTACTCACTATCTTGCCCATGTAATTGTAACCCCTCTGTACAGTATTTTCACAATAAAAAAAATAAAAATTAAAAAAAATCTGTTTACCTGTCTAACCTATACACATTTACACATAGGCACTGTTATTTCTACTTCTCTGTAGAATCTTAATTGTGGACAAGTGATTCTGAGAGGTAATAAATGTGTTCATGCCTTTTCTAATAAGCACCATAACTGAGGAGTGTGGATTACAAGGCCAAAGAATCCAGTGAATACACTGGGCTCGTATAGATGACCTAGGATCATCTCCTAGTGAAAGTCTTAATCACATGTACAAAGCCTTCTCTGACAAAGGGTACAGTTACAGATTCCAGTGACTGCATGGGGATGTTTCTGGTGGTGATAGCAGCACAATTTATACCTGATCACCAGAGGTAATCATCCACACATGGGAGATATCTAAGGACAGGCAACTCGCTCCTGCTCTCTTCAAGTGACAACTTCTCTGGACTTCCTCCACAAAAACCAAAATATTGTTCAACCAGGCCACATGCCTGTTACTTGGGACTGTTCTATATGTATCTTTTTACTCCCTGTCTCCATGTTTTGTAGGTGGTTCTTAGGTTTTCAAATTCATTCAGACAGGCCAAGAAGATTTGAGACACGGAAAGGAAGAAGGTCATGCTTTTATCCACAGGCTCTGCTATTCGCAGACTCAGTGGCGGCAGTAGTGCACAACCCAACAGCATGCTGTTCACTGGCCCAGCATAGTGAAGACTCAGAGACTTTGCCTGGCAACACCAGGTTCACATTCTGTCCACCAGTGGAATCACCCATCACACTCTGTCCACACCCTGTGCCTCTTAATACCCCTATAGACAAAAGTGGCATTGGCCAAGTGTAGCCACACAACACAGGGTAACCTACGGTAATGAATGCATCTATGACTTGAAGTGACATAGAAGTACAGGCCCAGGGCCTTCTGAGATTACAGTGAACGAAGTCTGATTTACTCCATTTTCTCCTCACCCTAATTCTCCCTATTTAACCAAAGGTCAATGTCTATACCAGGGAAGATATAAAACTTAACTATGTAACTTGAGGATAAAGCTGGGAAGGGGAAATAGGGGAGAATGATGGGAGGGGTGACATTGATCATACTCATGTCCTGACTTATGGTATTGTAACTTTTTTTCAGTCATGGAGCTTGAACTCAGGGCCTGATACTGTCCCTGAGCTTTTTGCTCAAGGATAGCACTCTACCACTTTCAGCCACAGCTCCACTTCCAGTTTTCTGGTGGTTAATTGGAGATAAGAGTCTCAGAGAGACTTTCCCGCCCAGGCTAGCTTTGAACTGCAATCCTCAGATTTCAGCCTCCTGAGTAGGTAGGTGAGGTGTGAGCCACCAGAGCTCAGAATGTAACCTCTTTGTATAACCACTTAATTGTAAAGTTAAAATAAGAAAAAAAGGGAAAGATTCACTGAGTTGTCAGGACCTCCAGACTTGCTTCTAGTTGTCTAGTGATGCCTCTTTAGGCACAAGAACTTCAAACAATACTCAAGACTTTGTCTAGAGCTCAAGAATGATTTATTGTTCCCATTCCAAGGACGTTTTCTCCCCACTACTTATAATCTTGTCTCTTCTTTTCTTTCCCTTCCTTCTCCTCTTCCTCAGCTCTAAAAGTCTCATTACATAAGATTGTGTTTGTTTCAGTCAATCCAGCTCTTCTTGTTCAAATATTTCAGTCATTGCAAGAGCTGTCAGAGATCTGTGGCTCCGTCACTTCATTGTCTGTTTCTGTTTTCTTCTTTCTTTCTTTAAGGCTTGAATTTACAAAGATAAGTTTTCTTTCCTGTTTTTCAGCATCAAATAAACTGCCATTATGGCAAAGGCACTCAACCAAGTTAATGCCCCTGTCACTGTGTAGACAAGCCCCAAGAAAAGGTTATCACCTCCGCTCCATGTCAGGGTGGACAGGACGACAGATTTCTCTCCTTGGAACCTGGTGACTGGAAAATATAAGAAGCCTTGTTAAGGATCTGTCTCAGCACATTTTATCTCTACCACTGCATATACCAAAAAGGTAGTTTAAAGCATGTGAAATTGCTCTCTTTTTTGCAAGCAAAATATTGGTTGAATATTTACTTTTATATGGTTCAATACAATGAAGTAGTGCTCTTTATCTTGCTAGAATAAAATTAATTAAAAAGCTGGGTGCTGGACTCATACCTCTATTCCTAGCTACTCAGGAAGCTGAGATCTGAAGATTATGGTTGGAAGTCAGCCTGAGCAAGAAAGTCCTTGAGAGTCTTATCTCTACTTAACCACCAGAAAAGTGGTGTTATGGCTCAAAGTGGTAGAGTACTATACTAGCCTTGAGCAAAAGAGCTCAGGGACAATGACCAGCCCCTGAGTTCAAGCCTCACGACCAACAAAAAATTAAAAAATTATAAAACTAAGTAACAACAAGCTTTCTCTCTACATAGATGTAATCTACAAGCGATTCAGACACAGATAGATCTGAATGACTTGCTTTTCATCATACGTCACTTCTTGGATGGATCCAAGGAAGGTAAAATAAATATAGGTTTTTTTTTTTTGTTGTTGTTGTTGTTTTTTACAGCAAACCTGAACTTAGTTAGGCTCAGGAGAAATGAAGTTAGTTCCTGAATAAGTTGAAGCTGGATCAAATTCCTACTTCAGGGGAAATTCTTCAAGAGTGAAAAACATTTACAGCAAAAATAATTAGAAGTAAAAGTAGGATAGATGGTAAAGCATTTTTGGTGAGAAAACTAAAGATGTTGCATTGGCCTTTGTTTGGAAAAGGCCAGCATCCCTGCTGCTGGTGAGAAAATATTTGAAGTGAGTTTGCTATCGTTAGCATTTTAATGACATCATCTCTAATATGCATGTGGCTTGAGGTTTTCAAACATCTGGTCCTTTTTGTAAACGAAACTAATAAACAAACAAAGATTTCTCATAGCAACGGCAGGGGTCAGAGGCATTTCCCAGCAAAGCTCTTAAAAGGCCTCACTCAAATCACTTGGCAACATGCTATTTAAAGGCACAAGGAAACTTGTTAGGAAACTAGCTGTCTTTTTTCTTTTACATCAGAATTCCTTATTGTCACCAGGTCCTTGAGTGCAACCTCAACCCATCTGCCTGCCTGTATTCTACCTTTCCATTCCAGCTCCATTTGAATGAGAGGGTTTTTAGGATGGCTTTTATCCCTCAGCCTTGGCCTAATTCTTATTAGCTGGCACACTAGGCTGGTCACACCAGGCCCACACACGGTGCAAGTGGAGGCCTGGAACTCATGACTGAAGCTGTGCATGGCAGATATAGACTTGAAAGTGATCAGTATTAAAGGAAATCGAGTTCACAAACAGGCAGCTTCCTCCTCCTCTGAACTCCTATTTTATTCCTGAAAACAAGAGATCAGCCTCTCGCATGAAAGCTTCCCTTCCTGTACCAGAAGAAACATTTTTGTAAATCATTAGAGACTAAGATTTGAGGCCAAAGAAATCTGTGCAAAGAAACTTAGTTAATCTAATCATCATCTCTCTTGTTATTTTCTGTAATTGACACTTTTTTTTTCTTTCTTGCGGGCCCTGGGCCTTGAACTTAATGCTCAAGGCTAGCATTCTACCACTTGATCCACAGCACCACTTCTGGCTTTCCTGTGTATGTGGTACTGAGGAATTGAACCCAGTGCTTCATGCATGCTAGGCAAGCGCTCTACCACTAAGCCACAGTCCCAGCCTCTAATTGACAATCTCCTCCACCCCCTAATCATGGGCCTGATCTCTAGGCCTGAGTGCTGTCCCTCAGCTCTTCAGCTCAAGGCTAGAGCTCTACCACTTGAGCCACAGTACCACTTCCAGATTTTTCTGCCTTTGTGGTGCTGAAGAATTGAACCCAGGGCCTCATGCATGCAAGGCAAGCACTCTTCCACTGAGCCACCTTCCCACCCAAAATTGACAATCTTTTAAACCCACTGTAGAAGCACTCAGGCTTAGTCCCTTTTTCAGGTCATCATTTTTTCTTGTGAGAGTTCTTATGTAAATGTAAATAAAATGTGTTGTTTTCCCCATTACTCTGTCTCATACTAGTCCCAGGTAGAGACCCCAAAAGAGCAGAGGGAAATGTTTTCTTCTAGACAAGATTATAAGAGAACTCCTCCATACAAATATAAGAGAATTATACACATTTTTTTCTGGTAAAAGTATTTGATTGGAGAATAGACTAGAATGAAAGAATTCAACAACCACTAGCCTTCTTTCTGAAGGAGAAAGAAAAGTAATACAAAGGATACTATAAGATATGTTGAAACTGTAGTTTCCAGCAGGTAAGCCTTCTTTAAAGTAGTGTTCTCGTGAGAGCCGGCGGTAGAGTTTTTTGAAAGTAGGAAAGGCAGCTGTCCGCATCCACACAATAAAGTCTTCATTGAGGAAGCCATTGTTTCCTGGGTCATCTCTATCTAGTTCATAGATAGGTACAGACCAGGATGGGGGCTTTGCACTTCCTGTGAAAAGACAAGGAATATGACAGAGAAACATCATCCCTAGAAATTAGAGTTTAAAAAAATCTAAGTGTGGGGGCTGGGAAGGTGGCTCAGTGGTAGAGCGCTTGCTTTGCATGCATGAGGCCCTGGGTTCGATTCCTCAGCCCCACATAAGCAGAAGAAGTCAGAAGTGGCACTGTGGCTCAAGTGGTAGAGTACTAGCCTTGAGCTGAAGAGCTGAGGGACAGTGCCCAGGCCCAGAGTTCAGGCCCCACGAACGACAAAAAAAAAAAAATCTAAGTGTGGGTGTTGGAGGTGTGGCTTAATTGGTGTGGTGCTAACAAATGAATAAAAGCAGTCAGGTACTAAGTTCAAGTCTTGGTCTCAGAACTAAAAGAAAAAAAGAAAAAACTCAGTGTGTATGTAACCTGACTTTTATACCATTAATAATAATGTTTTTAAAGACTCTAAGGAAATTTTCATAATAATTTTATAGGGTTTAAAAAAAGAGTAGAGGGCTGGGAAGGTGGTTCAGTGGTAGAGCGCTTGCCTTGCATGCCTGAGGCCCTGGGTTCGATTCCTCAGCACCACATAAGCAAAAAGAAAAAAAAAAAGCCGGAAGTGGCACTGTGGCTCAAGTGGTAGAGCACTAGCCTTGACCTGAAGAGCTGAGGACAGTGCCCAGGCCCAGAGTTCAGGCCCCACGAACCGGATCCAAAAAAAAAAGAGTAGAGGCCAGGCACTGGTGGCTCACGCCTATAATCCTAGCTACTCAGGAGGCTGAGATCTGAGAATCACGGTTCAAAGCCAGCCTGGGCAGGAAAGTCTGTGAGACTCTTATCTCCAATCAACCACCAGAAAACCAGAAGTGGTGTTGTGGCTTAAGTGGTAGAGCGCTCACCTTGAGCTGAAGAGCTGAGGGACAGCACCCAGGCTCAGAGTTCAAGCCCCATGACTGACAAAAAAAGAAGACTAGAAGCCAGGCAATTTTGGCTCACGCCTGTAATTCTAGACACTCAGGAGGCTGAGATCTGGGGATAATATTTGGAAGCCAGCCTGGGCAGGAAAGTTTGTGGGACTCCTATCTCCAATTAACTACCATAAAGCTAGAAGTAGAGCTGTGGCCCAAGTGGTAGAGCACTAGCCTTGAGCACAAAAGCTAGGCACAGTGTCCAGACCCTGAGTTCAAGCCCTAGGCCCAGGCCAAAAATTAAAAATAAATAGAGTGGGATATTAAATTTTATGGACATCTTTAACTACAGTAAAACATTGAAAAGGGTAGAACAAAATAAAAAGAATGAGGGTTTTCTTTATAATAGAAAATATATTTTCCTCCCAGAGATAGGATCTGGCTATGTAGCCCAGCTTGGCCTTGAAATCACAGTCTTCCTGCCCCTACCTTTGTGGAAGATAGAGGAAAAATAATCTCATTTCTTTAAATTCACTATTAGTCCAAAGAGGGCAAATGAAAACCAGAAAAACACTACTTTAAAGTAAAAAGGAGTGACAACCACTATGAGGGTATGGAAGTGGAACTCTTGTTCAGAGCAGATATGTGGATGAAATCTTAGCATTCTAGAAACATTCATGAAAAGTGTTACTGTTTTCTGAATTTTGGCCCAGAAACTCAACTTCTAGAAATGCAGTCTAAAGAAACACCACAGAGTGCTGGGAAGGTGGCTCAGTAGTAGAGCGTTTGCCTTGCATGCTTGAGGCCCTGGGTTCAATTCCTCAGCACCACATAAGCAGGAAAAAAAAAATCTGGAAGTGGCACTGTGGCTCAAGTGGTAGAGTGCTAGCCTTCAGCTGAAGAGCTGAGGGACAGTGCCAAGGCCCAGAGTTCAGGCTTCACAACTGGACCCCCCCCCAAAAAAAAAAAGAAACACCACAGAAGGGTGCAAAGATGGGGCTGCACAGATGTTCAACTCTGTGCTGCCTCTGGGGGTACAAAGCTAGAAGCAGTGGCAGGACAGGGAGGAGGCGGCCAGCATTAGCATCTCAGCCCAGTGTGAATCAGGGAAGTGTGGTCGAGCTTGGGCTATGGCACAGAACTAAGAAGGATAAGGTACAGGGTGGTGCTAGAAGGCACATCTGTTGATGTTAGCCTCATAGTTTTCATAATTCCCGCATTCAGCCATGGGCATGTCTGTCTCTTCTGTTCTACACGGAACTCCTTCAAACAGTATTGCTCTCATCTATTTTTTTTTTTTCTTTAGCAGTTGGTCCAGTGTCTGACACATAGCAGCTGTTCAATAAATGCTTGATAAAGGAAGGGATGAAAGATTCCAATTAAATCTGTTCAAGTGGATAATAAAAACCATATTGAATTTTAAAGCTCTAATCAACAAGAGTAAGTTGTTTCATAGACCTTTTCCTACAACACAGTTTGTTCTATTAGTAAGATGTCCAAATGGACTCTTGACTACTAACGCAACCCAGACTTATTTTCTAAGTATGGCTACAGTGCTGGTCAAAGTTCACATTAAGTTTGGTTTGAGTAACCTACTGAAGAATGCTTGTACATACTCTACTTCCTCTAGACAGAATTCTTGGCTGGAGGACCTTCCTTGATGTATATTGTAGAACTCACATAGTTTTTAGCTCTTTCCCAGATATCAATCATTGTTGTTTGAGCATTTGATCAAAATCACCAACTACCTTTGGTGTCTGCACTCTGGACTTGACCATCTTTTTACTTTTTGGTGTAAGGTCATTGTGAATTCCAACTGTGTGTGGTATGGGACCCTAATGTCAGAATGGCCCAGACTTGTGAAAAACACATGCTCAAAGTTGTCTTCCCTTAAACTCCAATCCTACTCCCTCCCATGTATCTAAAAGGTATGAGAAGCATATTTTAAGAAACATAAACTTCAGTTGGGTTGTTTGAATTCATCCATTTATTCAACAATATTGTCTTGATTTCTCATGCACGGGGATGCAAACCTGCTTGAGATCCAATCACTGTTTCCAAAACAATTCACACAGATGCTAACAGAATACAATGTGGTAAGTCTTGCGATAGAGACTAGAACAAAGTATAGCAGAAGATGGGAGAAAGCCAAGACCCTGTATGTTATAGGCTTATGGTTTTGTGGTAAGACAGAATAGTACAATGTCATCAAGTTGCTTTCAAAAGCTAGCAATGCAATGATAAGACACAGTGATGATACATGCGAGCTTGTCCAGGACAGACCCGGTTCATGTCTGTTGTACATTATCCCATCTGATTTTGCATTTACTCCAAATAAATAGTGTGCCTACAGTTTTATTCTTCCAGTTTCCAGTCATGGGCTCAGCGAACAGTGTGTGAGATTTGCCCATGTGCAGTGGGCTGGGTGCTTACTTCACTTGAGATCATACGTGAGAGATAAGCAGAGACGTTTTCAGTCAAAACACAATGCTACATATCCCCGTGACTCTTGCCAGCTTTTTAACATTCCAACCAGCTAGCTCACACTTTGTGTCTTGGCCCGTGAGCTGTGTGGTGCTGCCAGGGTGCAAATCAGCAGGGTCAATGGCAAACGTGGGAAACCGCAAGTCTGCATATATGTACATGATGTGCGGATGGGTGCTGACAGGAGTTTGAACTCTGTTGGAACAGTTACTTTTTTATTTATTACATGCCATATATATATTTGTTGTTATTACTTTCTTAATTCCATTTAGTTATGAAGGGCTAATAAAAACCCAAATGTGTGTTTAATGTAAAGTACAGTTTCTTAAGAAAGTTGATATGATACCGAAAATGTTGGTTGACCTTGCTCACCCACAGGCCACAGTGGTGTGAATCACCATGTAAGGATGGAAAGGTATAACTCTGTTGAAGAAAATCAGAACCTACTTCAAAAGTTTGTGGATAATCATGCATGGTAGTGCTCAACTGTAATTCCAGCACTTGGGAGGCTAGGGCAGGAGGATTGCCATTTCAAGGCCAGACTGTGCTACACAGAGAGTTTGGGACTCATCTCAGCTACATAGCAAGATCCTGCCTCAAAGAAGAAAGAAATGTTTGAGGTTAGTTTTAAAAGATTGTATCTGGAAAACGGATAAACTCTTAGATCCACTTGTATATCAGTCTGTGACAGCATGACTTCTTTTAATAATATTTCTATTGAGATTAAGTGATTACATATATCTCACAGTATTGTAGAATAGTGATACTTAAAGTCACAAACACATTTTAATTTTCACGAGGGACATTGTCATGTGGCTCAAGTGGTAGAGTGCTAGCCTTGAACAAAAAAAGCTAAGGGACAGTGCCCAGGCCCTGAGTTCAAGCCCCAGGACTGGCAAAAAAAAAAAAAAAAGAGGAAAAGAAACCCAGCATGACTTGTTATTGGTATCAAATGGAATTTCCTTCAGTTTTCACCTTTTTCTTTTTTTTTAAAGACATCTCACTATGTTGGTTCAGTCTCGTCTCAAATTTTCAGTCTTCTTTAAGCATCCCAACCTCTGGGATTACAAATGTGCACAACCATGCTGATCTAGTTTCAGTGTTTTAATTTTTACTCACTTTTGGTAATTAAAGAAAAACTTTTAACACGTTGTCTCCACTGGCAAACAAGAACTTTTTAAAGAGTTAAATGAGGCCAGTTAACATGAAAATTTTCAAATAGAAAAATCAGGTTAATTATAGTTAATTATATAATGGTTTGATTGGGGGATGGTTAAGTCCTCATAGAATCAAAGCATATCTGTTAAAAATTCATGAAGATGAAACTTTTGTCATCGTTATCAAGGTTACTAAAAACTCAATTAAAATCTTTAAATGGAGTCAGGTGCCAGTGGCTCCAGTCTGTAATCCTAGCTACTCAGGAGGCTGAGATCTGAGGATCAAGGTTCAAAGCCAGCCTGGGCAGGAATGTCTCTGAAACTCTCCAATTAACCACTTCTGGTTGTGGCGCTGTGGCTCAAGTGGTAGAGTTCTTGCCTTGCTTGAGCTGAAGAGCTCAGAGATAGGACCCAGGCCCAGAGTTCAAGTGCTGTGACTGACAAACAACAACAACAAACCAAGTTTCAATGGTTTGGTTTTGTAGAATAAATAAATGCAAATTTGATGGAGAAAAACATCAGACAAAAGGTAATGCTCTTTGTAAACTGAGAAATCAACAAAAATCAATATACTGAACATGATTAAAATTTGTTGTGGTACATAAATAATTCACAATTTTACACAGCTCCATTTCTAGCTTACAGTGATTAATTCGAAATGTGAGTCTCATAAGCTTTTGTGCCTACGCTGGCTTTGAACTACAATCCTCAGATCTCAGCCTCCTGAGTAGCTAGGATTATAGGCATGATCCACCAGCACCTGGCCAACATCTGCATTTTTTTTTTCTTTTTGCTTATGTGGTGCAGGGCCTCAGGCATGCAAGGCAAGCACTCTACCACTGAGCCACCTTCCCAGCCCAAGATCTGCATTTTTTGAAAGTACATTTTAGTATACCTATTTCATAGATGTCTCAATGTGATGTCAATTTAGGAATCAATAACTGAAAGTTGCAAGTAAGTATGTTGTTCTAGTACCTTCTTTTTCTCTCAAAAATACATATCAACTTGGATAGTAAATTATATGATCATTTTAACTGTATCCAAAGCAAGAAGTTTCTCAAGCGCTGCCCTCCCATCCTTGGGGGAGGAAGGAGTGTTTCTAGAATTTGAACTTGGAGCTTCCTATTTGTCAACCAGGTGCTCTCTACCTCTTGAAGCACACTCCCCATTTGCCAGCCTCAAACCAACTTTGTCTTGGTGGCAAAGTAGAAGAGACAGGGAACAGATCACTCATATTTCTTATAGGCACTGAACAGAGGAGCCCATGGTTGGGGAAGTCAGTGCAAAGGAAGTCAATAAAGAAGGAAGACTCATAAGCCTCTCCCCCCATCCAAATAAAACAAATATTTCATATAAAATAAGAATACTGAGCAACTGTATGGATCTTACCTTCAAATTGATCTGCAAGATTACTGGAAACTGGATTCTGAAATTTGACATACTTATCTGTCCACCATGTGAGTCCATACTTTAGCATTGGGACTTGGATGTGTTCAGATGAATGAAGGTTATAGGAAAGAATTATGGTATCTGAAAGGAAATTTCAAATTATGTTAGACGTGAAAGCTACCAAGTTTGCCATTCTTCAAAGAGCAGACACAGCTGAAAATAAACCAGTTTTCCAGACACTCAGCATGCCTCGATATCATAGCTGCTGACTCACAAGACTATTCTTTTTCTTGCTAAGGTTGAGCTCTGGGCCGGGTTGTGGCGGGCAGCGAGGCCTCGAAAGAGGCGAATCCGGCGCGAATCCGAACCATCAGAGCCGCCACCAAGACGGTGCAAGATGCTGCAGCACATTGACTACAGGATGAGCTGCATTCTGCAAGATGGCCGGATATTCATCGGGACCTTCAAGGCTTTCGACAAGCATATTTGAATTTGATCGTCTGTGCTTGTGATGAATTCAGGAAGATCAAGCCAAAGAATTCCAAGCAAGCGGAAAGGGAACAGAAGCCAGTCCTTGGTCTGCTGCTGCTTCGTGGGGAAAGCCTAGTTTCAGTGACAGTAGAAGAACCACCTCCCAAAGACACTGGCATTGCCCGAGTGACATTTGCTGGAGCTGACATGGGGGGGGGGAATAATGGTGGAGGAAGGGGGGAAAGAGGGGGAGAGGGGGCAGGAATTGGCAGGGCTGGGCTGCTGGCAGAGGAATTCCAGCTGGTGTTCCCATGCCCTAGGCTCCTGCAGGACTTGATGGACCAGTCCGTGGGGTTGGTGGGCCATCCCAACTGGTGATGACCCCCCCAAAGAAGGCTGCTGCAGCCGCTGCCACAGCCAGTATCGCAGAGGCTCCAACCAAAGTGCCCACCTGGACGTGTGGGTCCTCCCCTATCTATGGGTAGAGGGGCGGCATGGTGGGTCCCCCAATGGGGATTCTGCCTGGCCCAGGAACTCCAATGGGCATGCCCCCTCCAGGGATGTGGCCCTCTCCCCCCGACCCTGGGGAATGCTCCCCACCCCAATGCTCTAGACTCATCCTGGCCATCCTCAGCTCCCTGATTGCTTTCTGAAAGGCTGTGCATAGTCCTTTCATTTCTGTGGCCTCTGAAATTGGTTTATAACAAACTCTTAAGAGAATGTTGTAAATGAAAAAAAAGAAACAAAACAAAACAGAAAACAAACCTCTGGGCAGGCACTGGTGGCTGAAATCTCTAATCCTAGCTACCCAGGAAGGTGAGATAGATCTGAGAATCATGGTTCAAAACCTGACAGGGCATTAAAGTCTGTGAGGCTCTAATCTCCAATGAATCACCAAAATGCTGGAAGTGGAACGGTGACTTAAGTAGTAGGATGCCAACCTTTAGCAAGAAAACACCTAAGGGGTAGCACCCAGGCTCTGAAGCCTCACTATTGGTGTGCATGTGTGCACAGCCATAGACACAGACACAAATAATCTTAAGTTCCATTTAAATCATACATACACACACACACACACACACACACACACACACACACACACACACACACTTCTACATGTACATACATATAATACTATACAATAAATAAGCAAACAAACAAAAACTGTCACTAAGATGAAGAAGCAATCTGGGGGACATATAGGTGTTTACATACTTATGAAGAAGGATAGCACAGAGAGAAGACAAGGTTACACACCATTAAACATGCTGTTGGCAATAGCACCACAAGGAATGAAGGGAATTTTATCTTCAGTCATTTTGAATGGATGACAGCCATGAACATCCTGTATGCAAGATGATACAACAATAAGAAATGTTTTTGGCAAACTCTTAGAAGATGTGTAAATGTGTTTTACCTACCTAAAAATTCATACACAGGAAGAAATTTAACTTGCTTGTTATCCTGTATATCACATGGAATCTTAAAAAAAATTTTGTTGAAGTATAATTTACATTCAGAATACGCACAGACCATGATTGTACAGCTAGATGACTAGCTGGATGGACATCACCAAGAATCCATCTTTTACAACAGCGGTTGCTAAAAAATCATCTGGCTATCGCTTTCATAGAATGTCAGTATGAACAAGGTTTCCTTTTAGCTTTGCTTACTAGAAGCTAAAGATCATCTATCAAGATTAAAAATTGGTAATCCTAGGTCTCCTATTGTAGTCAATACAATCAAAGATTTGAAAACTAGGTTCTTAGTTCAATCAATAGAATATCAATTAGGAAGGATCAAAAGCTCCAGATTCCTTGTAATAAGGACAGTGGGTAGGAATCAAGTGAGCAAAACTGAGACAAATCCCTCAAAATGGTACATGAAAAGATAACCATTTAGTTGGATATGGTTCATGACACTTCTCTGAGGAGGAACAGAGCTTTCTCTAACAGTGATCCTGAATATCTAGGCCTGTCTGAAGTATTTCTCTTTTGTGACACCTTCTTTTTTTTCTTTTTTGGGTCCGGTCATGGGGCCTGAACTCTGGTCCTGGGTGCTGTCCCTCAGCTCTTCAGCTCAAGGCTAGCGCTCTACCACTTGAGCCACAGCGCCACTTCCGGCTTTTTTCCTTTTTGCTTATGTGGTGCTGGGGAATCGAACCCAGGGCCTCAAGCATGCAAGGCAAGCGCTCTACCACTGCGCCACCTTCCCAGCCCCGACACCTTCTATTTTGAACTTATATTTCATCTTCCTTTCCGAAAGAACTCTCTGGATTTAAAAGAGGCAAAGTATTACACCAAAGTAAAAAAGCCTTACCATAATATTCTTACTCATCAGTTGCGTATTGCTTCTGGAAAGAACATATCGATAGAGATTCTGGTAGAAGCCATATAATTTGTAGTACATATAAACATTACCCTGTTTGGGGGAAAATAAGATGCAAAAAGGGAGTAAGAGATATTAAGTAGAATATTAATAAATTAAAAAAATAAAAAGTAGTACAGAACTGTTAAGATTCTTCCTGGAAACAGAAATGCAAGAAATCACTTTAAAAAGTCTCTGTTGGGCTGGGTGCCAGTGGTTTCATGCGTGTAATCCTAGTTATGGGGGCAGCTGAGATCTCAGGATTCAGATTTGAAGCCAGCCTAGGCAGGAAAGTCTGCAGGACTCTTATTGCCAACTAATCAGCAAAAAGCTGGAAGTAGAAGCATGGCTCAAGTGATAGAGTGCCAACCTTGAAGGAAAAAGCTAAAGACAGAGTACAGAGCCCAGACCCTGAATTCAAGCCCCAGTACCAGCACACACAAAAAAGTCACTGCTAGAAATTCCTGGCCTATGCAGAATTACTGCAATGAAAATAAGTAACTTATTTTTAAGCTATTCTTTTTTTTTAAGGCTTTCTTAATGGCTTCTATGTTCTTGTTTGATTATTTTTTAAATAATGAGGCTTTGTATTTCCATACACAAATTTGTTTTTTGGGTTTTTTTTTGTCGGTCGTGGGGCTTGAACTCTGGGTTTGGGCGCTGCCCTTGTGCTCTCCAGCTCAAGGCAAGTGCTCTGCCGCTTGAGCCACAGCACCACTTCCGGTTTTCTAGCAGTTTATTGGAGATAAGAGTCTCACGAACTTTGCTGCCCGGGCTGGCTTTGAACCGCGATCCTCAGATCTCAGCCTCCTGAGTAGCTAGGATTACAGGCGTGAGCCACCGGCGCCCAGCTCACAAATTTGTTTTTTAAAATGATGTAATTTCCCAAGACAAATGCTTTATCTAGGGTTGTGATCTCAAAGCAAACCCAAGTAATATAACACACGTAACATTAGAGTTACTGGTATAGTTAGGTAGAGGTACATGAAACTAAAAGAGCCTATGGCCAGAATCTAACTGTCTGTGCCATTTCAAGTTTCTTTGATCTAGTAGAGTCTTTGGATTATAATACTTGATCAAGAAATGATGAGTATGCAGTCAAAATTCAATGTATGTACTATAAATTAAGAAAAATGAGGGAAGGGGTGGGTTGGGAGGATGGGTGAAAATGTTGAAAGAGTGACATTGATCAAGATGCATGATACTCATAAACTCTTCGATGAGTGGCAATTCCTGTGAACAACTATGAAAAGATAATAAAAATATTAAAAAGAGAAATAATGAGTATGGAACAATGAACTGATCCACAAGAAAGAAGTGATTTCTACCCTAGCAGTAAGAAGCCTTGTTGCCTTGAGAGGAAGATTGTTTTTGCATGTGCTACAATGCAAGGCAGTCCAGTCATAGATTAACATTATGGGTTTATTTTTATGGTGACATACCAAGTCCCATGAAATTCTCAATGTAGATTTGAGGCTGATATTACAAACAACACATATGCAAACATGTACATTGATTTAAGTAACATAATCATAGATTTTGCTAACAGCACAAGTGGCCAATATTGCTGTACACAAAAGCATTTCTTTTACAACTCCTTGGTTCATCGATTCTTTAGCCCAATGCCAAACTAGCATGTTTGGAAAGGCTTTTGGCCTTACTTCCTAAGAACCTTAAAGACTATGGAAAACTGGGCCTCATACCTACTGAAACCCTAAAGAAAAGTCATTGTAAATGTAGCTAGTTATGGAACAAAAGCTGAAGAAGTCAGCCAGCTTTTTTTTGTGTGTGCTGGTCCTGCGGCTTGAACTCAGGGCTTGGGTGCTGTTTCTAAGCCTTTTTTGCTCAAGGCTAGAGCTCTATCTCTTATTCCACAACTCCACTTGTGGCAGAGAGGCATGGTTAATTGGAAATAAGAGTCTCATGGACTTTTCTGCCCAGTCTGGCTTTGAACCTTGATCATCAGATCTCAGCCCCCTAGCTAGGATTATAGGCATGAGCCATTGGTGCCTGGCAAACTTAGCCCTTTATAAGAGATAATTTCTGGGACACTGAAAAGAGATGATAGGTCATAATGAAAAGGCAGGCTGCACCACAATCCACAGGGAGCATTGGTGTGAAGGCAGACAAGCCAGGCTTCACTTGCTAGGAATGATGGATTACATTTCTTACTCCTGTGACTACAGACAGTATGATATCCACAGAATGGAATTTACCATACATTTTCTTGGAAGCCAAAAAAAAAAGAATTCTACTAAACTAGAGCTATATGCTCATATAAATGACACAATAAACAATAAATGCAGTCAGCGTTTGCCCCACTAGGGACCTCTTTGCAATGATTCTCTATCCAAGATTTAACCTAACAAGGTCTTTTCAAAGATCATGACCTTCCTGGGTCTCTTCTGTCCGCTGGACTCAGGCCCAGCTCCTACATAGCATCTTCCATGCTGACATAGTTCCCCTCATTACTTGAATAGCTGACATTATCTGGGATGAATACAGGTCCAGACAGGGCTGTTCTTGAGCTTCCTGCTGAGCATTCAAGGCCCTGTTCCACCTTGGAGTCAGCTGGTCCCAAACCAAACTCATCCCCTGAAAACCTTCCTCATCTCTCTCCTTCCCTACTTCATTCTTTCTCTGGGGCAATTGCTGACTCGTGCTCTGTCAGCTCTCCCTGACTCCTGATGGCTTCCATGACCCACCTCAAGTGTTCCCCTAGTCAGTTTCTTCATGTCTAAGCCTGCCTTGGTAACTACGTCTCAGAGGATCTGGACTTAACATGAAACTTTAATCAGCCCAAGAGTAGAGAATTCTCTTAATATTTATTTGTCATTTCCCTTGGTGCCTGACAACCAAGCCAGTCTCTTTGGGATTAGGTAACTAATGTAGAATGACTTGGAGTGAAGGGATCCAAGCAGAGTCCCATCAGGTGAGGCTGCTGACACTAACTTACTATGTAATCTTGATGAAGTCACTTAACCTCTCAGCCCATTAATTTTCTCATTATCAAAAATGGGTGGTTAGATTTAGTGATCTCTAAAATCTTCTCCTAGACTGACAGGTAGGATAAAAACCTGATTAGCAATAGAAATTATTTCACAAGGGAGGGTAACAATACCAAAAAAGCCAAATGGTGGGGTAGGAAGACAATAATTTATAAGATTTGTCACCTCCATTCTGCTTTCTTTAAAAAAATATTTTTATTATCTTTACGTAGTCCAAAGAGTAAGCATTCATAAATCAGTTTATAAGTACAATGCAGCTTGATTAATTTCATCTCTTTCATTTCTCCTCATCCCTCCCAATCCAACTCCTCCCCTCAATTTTCTTAGTTTCATAGGGCATGCATTTGGTATTATAATTTTGGAAAGCACTTGATGGAATTTAAAATATTATTATGGACATTTAAAGAGAAGTTTATCAGTATTAAGTTAGTTGAAGGGTTTTTTTTTTGTGTGTGTGTGGTACTGGGGTTTGAACTCAAGACAATTTGGGGCATTCCTCCAGGCATCCCTGGGCTTTGATCCTCCTACTATGCCTCTTGGGTAGTTGGTGTCAAAGGTGTGAGCCTGGCTTTGGTTGAATTCTCCAATGTCACTTACCTTCATTTTCTCTGGAAGGTTAAAGGGAATAGAACAGGTGCATGCTTTCCTAAACTTGGAGGCATCATCCCGCAGTTCATGACAATCTGCACATAGCTTTGTGTAATTGACCTGTCAGGCAGGGCAGAGTGATGAAGCTATACAAGTATGTATCTTAAATTTCAAGACTTGAATCTATACAAAAATTTCAACCTGTCTTGGATGTGCAGCCTGAGACATGGCTAAAGGGCAGGCCACTCCCAGCACAAATGTTTCTAGTGTTTGGGAATAGTAAGACTTCTTACAGTCTTGTATTTGGGCACCTGGCAGCATCTTACCATTAAATAAATCCTCAGCAACTCCTCCAAAAATCTAATTAAAAGGGTGGAAGTGGCCTGAATAGATACTTTTCAAAAGAAAAACTTCTAAAAGGAAAATGCCCAAATGAATCCAAGCCAGCACACCCATATTTATGTCAGCACTACAACAGCCAAGTTACATCAGCAATAGCTAAATTATGGAATCACCCTAAGTGCCCATCAATGGATGAATGGATGCAGGTATGCATCCATGTGCACTTGTGCACATGTGCACACACATACACATACACACACACACACACACACTCAATGTAATATTATTCTGTCATAGAAAGAACAAAATCATGGAAAACTGGAGATCATTATGTTAAGCAAAATAAGACAGATTCAGAAAGTCAAGTATTGCATGATTTCCTTCAGATGTGGAATATGGGTCAGGGGAGGACATGAAAGTAGAAGGAGGGACTATTTTTTTTTTTTTTGGGTCCGGTCGTCTTTTTGCTTATGTGGTGCTGAGGAATCGAACCCAGGGCCTCAGGCATGCAAGGCAAGCGCTCTACCACTGAGCCAACTTCCCAGCCCCAAAGAGGGACTATTAAGAAAGAAGAGAAGCAGAGGGAGAGGAACGAGAGAGGACAGTAGGGTGAACATGATCAAAGTACATCATAGGCATGTATAAAAATAGCATACCAGGCTGGGAAGGTGGCTCAGTGGTAGAGTGCTTGCCTTGCATGCATAAGGCCCTGGGTTCGATTCCTCAGCACCACATAAACAGAAAAAGCCCGAAGTGGCACTGTGGTGCAAGTGGTAGAGCACTAGCCTTGAGCTGAAGAGCTCAGGGACAGTGCCCAGGCCCAGAGTTCAAGACCCATGACTGACCAAAAAAAAAAAAAAAGCAATCCAAAATCCATTACTTATAATGTATACTAAATTAGAAGACTGACTTAAAAATAAAAAAATACAGACCTCTGATGAGCATTTGAAAAATAGTCAATGTTATCATCCATCAGAAAAATTCATCTTACCTTGAAATGGTGAGTACCAGAAATGCAAAAAGTTACAAATTCTGGTAAGGATACAGATAAAAGGGAAATTTTATGCACTGTTGGCAGGAATATAAATTAGTGTATTTACTACAGAAAACAGGATGCAGGTCCTCCAAAAGCTAAAGCTGGAACATATGACCCAGCCTTCCCACTTCTGGTTATCTATCTGATGGAAATAAAAACACACCAGAGAGACACCTACATTCCCATGTTTACTGCAGCACTATTCAAGAGCAAAGGTGTGGGAGTCAATGTCTTTATTTAGTGACAGACAAGGTGCTATATATACACCCAAATATTAATTGAGCCATCAAAAGAGGAAAATCCTGTCATCTTGCAGCAATATGATGGAACTGGAGGATATTTGCTAAGTGAAATAAATCAGAGACAGCAAGACAAATATGGCCTGTCCTCACTCACGTAGGATCTGAAGCAGTTGATGTGATAGTAGAATAGTAATTAACCACAGGCTAGGAAGGGTAGGGGTGTGTGTGGCTAAAGGAGGTTGGCTAACAGGTAACAGAACACAGATTGGAGAGTAAGTTCTAGCTTCCTAGGCACAGGCGTGTGACTGTAGTTTACCGTAACCTATTATACATTTTATGAAGTTTAAAAAAAAAAATAGCTATCTCTAAATAGAAAGAAGGAAGGACCAGAACACGCTGACTCAGTACATTTGCTCTGTCCATTGGATACATGTAAGATGCCATCCTGCCTAATGAGTATTGCAATCATTCTTTAATTACACATTAAAAAAAACAAAAAAACAAAAAAAACCAATGCATACAGATATCTTCTTAAGCTCCAGAGGACCTGGACCTTTGGGTCTGAAATTCACCTTGCCTTGCCTCTCCTCCTACCTCTATTATTATTTGCTGATCATTCTGCCAGTGTGAAAAGCACTTCACTTTGCCAGGGGCTTGTACCCCTCTATGGCCTCTGAGTCTTGCATCCAAAAGAGGGGGTGCTCCGGTGTCATCTAGATCCCCGTGGAGAATTTAGACCCTTCTTATTTTATGGTTCTACAACTGAGGACTCTTGGAAACCGCATTACAATGGTAAGACAGTGCAAACCTCTATTTTCTTGGTGCTCTTTGCAGACAATATAAGGATGATGCCCACACAGAGGCAGAATAATCCCGTGGTAAAAAAGATAGAGAGGACGGCGGTGGCGGTGAGGCGGAGGTGGTGACCCGGCAGCTTTTGCTGCTTAAACGCACTGTTGTCTGGCTGTCTGGACTTGTCATATTCGAACAGCTTCTCCATTTTGGCTCTGTAAGTGATTCAGATGTGCATTTGGGTCATTTAGAACATTCCTAACTCAGAAATACTGACAATGGTAAGTCATTTGGAGAACTATGTGAACCTTCCTTTGTCATTGTCTTCCTTGTCATTGTCTTTTCTGCTTCCTAGATTTATTTCTCAGCCAGACCTCTTATCCACCATTGCTAGGAATATTGGAACTAGGCTCAGAAAGCCTGTTCTGCTAAATGCCCTGCCCGTGAGGGACAGGCCCTGGCGAGGCCTGTGAAAACCAGCACCTGCTGGCACTCAGGCAGTCACGAGGGGCTGTTTTGGGGGTTGGTGACTGAAAGTGGGAACTGGATTTATCTTCAGGAACATACTTAAATGTTTAGAGATAAATCCTTAGGCTGCTGCTAACATGAATATAAATTAAGTTGGCAAAATGCTCTGGGATTACAGCTCGCATTGCCATTGGTGATTATGAGGAAAGAGGAAACACATGTGGAATTGAAACACAGGTGTTTGATTTCAACAGCTTCAATTTGTTTTGCATTTGTAAGGCAGATACCAGTAGAAAAATGTGCCCTAAAACATTGGGAAGGGGAAACTGGAGGACAGCAAAGAAAGGTACTCATTACCTGAGTACCTTTATGACCCCTCTGTAGAACACATTAATAGTAAAGGTACATGCTTTGGAGTAGCTCAAATGAGGCTAGAGAAGTATAATCAGACAGGTGTTCAACCTTGCTATATGACATTAGATATGGGATGGGATTTTCTCCCTTATTAGAAATGCACAAAGGTTAACCTGCTAAAAATTAATAATTGCTTCTCTTAAAACTGGGATTAAAAATTTGGGAGGGAGAGGTAGAAGGACCAATCACAGTCCAAAGTTGGCTTGGGCAAAAACTGGATACTCTAGAACAAAGTAAAAGCAAACGAACTGGCATGGCTCAAATGGGAGAGCATTTGCTTAGCAAGGGTGAGCTGTTTTGGCAGTCACTAGCACTTCTAAACAAAAACAAAAACACATAAACAAACAAAAATCCTGGCATGAACAGCGAATGTTGTGTCTCACATCTGTAATCCTAGTTATTTGTGAGACTGAGTTCAGGATCTCAGTCCCAGACCTGCACAGGCACAAATTCCTGAGGCCTCTTTTCAACCAATAAAAGCTGAGTATAGCAGGGCACAGGTGATTCATGTATATAATCCTAGCTATTCAGGATGCTCAATTTTAAAATCAGAATTCTATATCCTTAAAGCCAATTTCTGTTTGTTGTTTTGTTGGTGATACTAGGGCTGGAGTTCAGGGCAACTCACTTGTTAGACAAGTGTTCTATCATTTGACCCACACCTTGTCTTTTTTCTTCTGGTTATTTTTTTAAACCACCATCTCACTCACCAGTCTGTCCCCAGGCTGGACTGGATCTTGATTTTACAGCTCTCACCCAAGTGGAAGACCAGTACCTATCACCATAGTCAGCTTTTTTTTTTTGCTTTTTTATTTTTAATGCCTGGGTGTGTCCCTGAGTTCCCTCCTCCCCCTGCCCCCTTAAAAAAGTCAGTGTTCTACCACTTGAGCCAAAGCTCCACTTCCAGCTCTTTGGTGGCTAATTGGAGATGCATCTCAGACTTTCTTGCCTGGGCTAACTTTGACCCTTGATCCTCAGATTTCAGCCTCCTTGGCAGCTAGGATTACAGACTGATTAAGAAGGCTATGACTGTTGTCTGGTTTAATAGAATACAAAGTAAATGCAAATACTTACAGTAAGAGGTTTCCACATTAGAGTTAATTCTTTATATTTGAGAAATTGGAGAGGCAAAATATCAGTGGAAAAATTTCAGAATGTCATCCAAATGACTAGGATGTTATCATGTGTTATCATGTGAGAAGACAGTGAAAAATTCTAACATCTACTATTGGTTTTATATGAGGAAAAATTTGGGTTTCAAAGGCCATCACAGGCTATGAGATTATATATATGCAAGTGTGGAGTGCAGAATATCAGGTATAACTGTTGAGTGGGAGTGTGTGTGTGTGTGTGTGTATAAAACTTCTAGTGAAGGAATGTGTATATGATGAATGAATAAGAATAGTATTTTTTAGGCTTTTTATAAAACAATGAAACTAGTTGGATTCCTTTAATCCCAGCTATTTGGGAGCTGAGATAGGGAGGGCTACAAATCAACATCAGCCTGGGCCAAAAGTTGGAGATCCTATCTTAATCAATAACTTAAACACACACACACACACACACACACACACACACACAAAATCCCTCCACCTACACCAACACCAACAAACAAAACTAAAATAAACAAGGTCTAAAACTAAAAGGAACTTTACAAGCACTGTATTAGTTCTTGTTCTCCAGAAACACAGAATCAACAGATGATATGATTCTATATGTATATGTTGGCGGGAACCAGCTTACACGATTATAGACAGTTCCCAAAATCTGCAGTCAGTATCCTGAGGTCTGAAGGCCAGCAGGCTGGTATGGATTCAGTAAGAGCTAATATTTCAGTTAGGAAGTGCCAGGCAGAATTCTCATACTCGGGGGAGGTGCACCGTGGTTATACTAAGGGCTTCAACTGATGAGACGAGGAGGCCCACTCAGCTATCTCCTTCAGTGGAAGTCTACCAACTTAAATGCTACTTTCATCTCAAAACACTCTCACAGAAACACTCCAAAAGTGTATTATGACCAGCTTATCTGGGTACCTTGGGACGTGGCAGAATGGATAGGTAGAAATCAGTCAGGTGCAAGCATTTCTGGAATGCTGTTCATGAGAACCAGATCTGTATCTAGATATCTATGTCTATCTATAGATATATACATATATTTATATATATATTTTGTATACCAATTTTTTTCTATTCTTAATAAAACTACTGTTTGAAATTATACTTCATATGCTTTTTTCTTCAATAAACAGGGTGCCTCAGTCCTGATAGCACTACTGGCATAGTGGTCCAGATATTTCTTAGCTATGTAGATTTGTCTTAATGTTTAGGAGTATCCCAGGCTTCTACCTGTTAAAAAAGTTACAACCTACAGGTCTAGCAACCAAAATGCATCTCCAGACATTACAAATGTGTCCTTAGGGGAAAAATTAACTGAGAAGCAATGTTATGGACCAATACCTATATGACCATTTGTTAGTAGCTATTGCGAAACGGTAAAAGTGTCAGTGTGAGTTGGGCTCATGTGCTCATGCCTGTAATTCTAGCTACTCAGGAGGCTGAGATGAGGATTGTGGTTTGATGCTAGCCAGGGCAGGAAAGTCTGTGAGAGTCTTATCTCCTCCAATAAACTACTCATAAGTGGAGCTGTGGCTCAAGTGGTAGAGTGTGAGCCTTGAGCAAAAGAAGCTCAGGGACAGAGCCTAGGCCCAGAGTTCATGCCCCAGGCCCAGGGGGGAAAAGAAATTTCAGAGTGAGTTTTAAATTCTTGCTTTTTATTTTTCTTTAATTATAGTAGACAACTTTTTCAGGCATTGCCACGTGTTTTGCCTTGGATCTTCCTGTATTTTCCTGCACCTGCTGAGATGCAAGCATACAAAAGCCGAGTATAGGATTGGAAGTGATTCAATCACATGTACATATTTATATACTCATAATGTTCAGACAAATGTGGCCATCTCTTTTTTTTTTTTTTTTGGTCCGGTTGTGGGACCTGAACTCTGGGCCTTGGTGCTGTCCCTCAGCTCTTCAGCTCAAGGCTAATGCTCTATCACTTGAGCCACGGCACCACTTCTGGCTTTTTTCTTTTTGCTTATGTGGTGCTGGAGAATCAAACCCAGGGCCTCATGCATGCAAGGCAAGCGCTCTACCACTGAGCCACCTTCCCAGCCCCTGAATTTGGAATTTTATATGTCACTGACAGACTCTGTTTGACCTCGTCTGCCTGAGTCTTCAGCAAACTCGGTATCCTGAAGTGCAACTGGAGGCCTGGACCTCACTTCCAGTCTGCACTAGCAGATGTCCCTTCTGGGACTGTATTTTTTCCTTCAGAACTATTTCACTGATTAAATATGACAAGTATTTGTGAAAGCTGTAAATATAGTGCTTGGTATAGTGTAGAAAATTAATATTAAATGAGTAAGAAAAGGGAATTTGATCAACAAAATATTATAGTATTGCATTATAACCTGTTAACTAAATATTCATGAGTCCATAGTGGTATAAATAACTGAATAAGAATATAAAGAGGAAAAGAACAGCTATTTCTTACATAGGAATGAACAAATATTAAAGGAATGGTTACAAAATTATTGGGTAAAAACCTGAGAGCCAACAGATATTTGTATAAGCCTCAAAGTAGCTCTCTCAAGATATATATTAATTACAATAGAAAAAAAATTAGTTAACTGTTGACAGAAAATTGGCAGATACCACTTTTACCAGGTGATTAAGGTTGATAATGACATTAACATCAAACCTCATTGACGTTGTATTCCCAGATATGATACACAGAGGACAAACTACTACTGTGGTTCTAGAAAAAAAAAGCAAAACTTCAAACTACAGAAAACAGGATGGGGGAAATGATAGAAGGGGTGACTCCAATCAAGATGCATTGTACCTATATCCATGACACATTAAATCTAACCACCTGTACAAATATTTGAAGAGAGCAATGAATAAATAAAACAATAGAAAGATCCATCTTGAGGAACAATCTACAAAATATCTGATAGGAACTTACCCAAGTAAAGGTAGCTGGTGGCTCTTACTAGTAATCCTAGCCCCTTAAGAGGATGAGCTCTAAGGATCGAGGATCAAAGTCAGACCAGGCAGAAAAGTTCAAGAGACTCCATTTCAAATTAACCATCAAAACAAACAAACAAACAAAAAACCCTAACAAAATAAAACTGGACTGTAGGCATGGCTCAAGAGGTGGAGTGCCAACTGAGCAAAGAATTAGAGTGAGTGCTTGAGAGATCGAGGCCTGGTACTAACACAGACAAATAAAATGATAAATATCAAGAAAGAAGGAGAAATAAGTCATCAAAAGGAAACATAACAATTAAATGCAATATGGGATTCCCAGACTTTCTCAGATACTGTCCAGAGAAGGATATTGGTTGAAAAATGGAGGCAATTTGAAAACCATCAATAGTTTAGTTAAGTGCACCACACTGATATTGCTTTCTTAGTTTTGGTGACTATATTGTGATATACTAGAAATTAGCATTGGGAAAGGTGGCAGAAGGTGACATTGGAAATTCTCTATATTATTTTTGCAACTATTCTATACGTTTGGAATTATTTCAAAACAAGTTTTAGCATTATGAACAGGAAATCTGTACTTGTTTTTCTGTATTTGCAAATTGTCACATATACTTGCATCCCGTTCTAGCTTCCATGGCAACTCTCCTCCCTGAGACCATGCCTCAGTTTATAAATCTGCTCCACAATCACCATCTGATGAAGTCCTCAACCATGTCCACGTCAGATGATGAGACAGGAGCTCAGAAAGGGAAGGGCCTGGCTTCATGTCACCCAGCTGCTCTTTCCCATCTCCTGCATTTCCAGTCTATGCAGCTGATGAGAAGAAAACTATCTGCTCAACAAAGATCACACACAAGCCAGTGGGAAAAGGACAAGTTTATTTCTGTTAACGAATCCTCATTAAATATTTCAGGTGACCAATTTAGTGATGCAACAAACATTGATAGTAGCTGTTATTTCCTGAGTACTTGTAAAGTGCCAGCATTATTGAAAAGGATGCAAATTCCACCGTGAAAACCAGAATCTTCATCAGGATGTAGACTTAGAAAAGGCCCAGCTTCAAGGATCCTGACTTGCATAGATCGAGCACTCCCATTTCTAGAAGTTCAAAAACCTCCTTTCTTATCTAAATGAGGGAAAAGACCAAAACAACAACGAAAACTTAAGATTCCTAGTATGTGGGAGGGTTCACCTCCTCCACCTTAACCCCCCATCAACCAAAGTTGGTTTTGACAAAACCCAAAATTTATCATCTGGAATCCCAGGTATTTATACAGCTCTTGTGGCAGAAGTCACAAGTCCTAAAGGGCAGAAGTCCTAATTTACATTTGATGTTGAGTTGAAATAGTCACATAAAACGAAGAAGTTTGGCTGGGCACTGGTGGCTCATGCCTATAATCCTATCTACTCAGGAGGCTGAGATGTAAGGATCATGTTTCAAAGCTAGCCTGGGCAGGAAAGTCTGTGAGACTCATCTCCAATTAATCATCAGAAAACCTGAAGTGGAGCTGTGGCTCCAAGTTGTAGAGTGCTAGCCTTGAACGGAAAAAGCTCAGGGACAGCACCCAGGCCCTGAGTTCAAGCCCCATGACCAATTTTTTTTTGGGGGGGGGTCTGGTCTTGGGGCCTGAACTCTGGGTCTGGGCGCTGTCCCTCAGCTCTTCAACTCAAGGGTAGCACTCTACCACTTGAGCCACAGCGCCACTTTCAGCTTTTTCTGCTTATGTGGTGCTGAGGAATCAAACTAGGGCATCATGCATGCAAGACAAGCACTCTACCACTGAGACAACTTCCCATGACCTTTTTAAAAATTTTATTTATTTATTTATTTATTATTTGCTAGTCGTGGGGTCTGAACTCTGGGCCTGGGTACTGTCCCTCAGCTCTTCAGCTCAAGGCTAGTGCTTTACCATTTGAGCCACAGAACCACTTCTGGATTTTTTTCTGCTTATGTGGTGCTGAGGAATCGAACCCAGGACCTCATGCATGCAAGATAAGTACTCTACCACTGAGCCACCTTCCCAGCCCCCTCATGACCAATTTTTATATAAAAAGGAAGAGGCTCAACATAAAACAGATTTCATTAAAGTGTCCTCACACTCTTTTTTTTTTTTTTTTTATCAGTCATGGGGCTTGAACTCTGGACCTGAGTGCTGTCTCTCAGCTCTTTTAGCTCAATACTAGTGCTCTACCACTTGAGCCACAGTACCACTTTTGGTTTTCTGATGGTTTATTGGAGGTAAAAGTCTCACAGCCTTTCCTACCTGTGCTGGTTCTGAATGACAATCCTCAGCTCTCAGATTTCCGAGTAGCTAGGACTACAGTTGTGAGCCACTGGTGCCTAGCTCAAACTTCTAAATTAGTTTTTAAAAAAACAGTCTAACCGGACTCTGTGGCTCACAACTGTAATCCTAGCTACTCAGGAGGCTTAGATCTGAGGATCACGGTTCAAAGCCAGTCTTGGCAGGAAAGTCCATGAGATTCTTTTTTTTTTTTTTTTTGGGTCCGGTCGTGGGGCCTGAACTCTGGGCCTGGGCACTGTCCCTCAGCTCTTCAGCTCAAGGCTAGCACTCTACCACTTGAGCCACAGCGCCACTTCCGGCTTTTTTTCTTTTTGCTTATGTGGTGCTGAGGAATCAAACCCAGGGCCTCATGCATGGAAGGCAAGCACTCTACCACTGAGCCACCTTCCCAGCCTCTCCATGAGATTCTTATCTCCAATTAATCACCAGAAAATTTGAAGTGGCACTGTGGCTCAAGTGGTAGAATGCTAGCCTTGAGCTGAAGGATAATGCCGAGGCCTAGAGTTCAAGCCCCATGACCAACAAAAACAAACAAACAAAACAACAGTCTACTCATGGAACAGGTTGCATGACTCTATATACTGTGTGTACTCTGTGTGTGTGTGTGTGTGTGTGTGTGTGTGTGTGTAGGGGGAAGGATCATGTGTGTATACACTGAACTGAGCAAATTGTCTTTTAACCTGATGTCTGTGAACACTCACCAATCAATTATAATCAGCTTTGGTCAATCTGGGAAAGTAGTTTTATGTGATAAATTAATTCATTCAGTATGTTTGAAGGAGTTATTCCAAGTCTCTTTGATAGTTACTTCTATGATTTATTCCTGGCTGGTGCCTGGCAGCCATATTTATGACTGTGCAAACCTCTTTTGAGTTTTTTTTTTTTTCCTAAAAACTACTTTGAAATATCAGACTAGATTGAAAAATTGGCCTCAGGATGAGACTGTGGGTGGCAAAAATCAATTTTTCACAATTTGATATTAATGGATTACTTGAATAAATATATAATGAGCTAATATTGTGCCCACAAAGGCATTCAATCATTTCGATTCTAACCCACTGAGACAAAAAAAAATTCTTACCCCACAAAACCAAAATGTCTTTCTAAATGAAGGAAATTTATAGTAATGTGGAGATGCCAGGACTGAGGGAAGTTTATTTCCCATCGACTTTGGTCAAATGATCCCCACATGTGTGTGCACACACACAGACAGAAGGTAAAGATGACTGTGGTGGTAAGGGTAACATAGAAAAAGTGCTAAAACCATCACATCTTATAGTTCCTTTTTTCTTTTTCTTTTTTTTTGGCAGTCTAGGGTTTGAACTGAGGGCCTCAAGCTTGCGGAGCTGGTACTTTACCACTTCAGTAATGCCTTCATGGAGTCCTTCTTTTTGCTAATTATTATGGAAATATAGTCTAGTAACCTCTCTGCCCAGGGCGACCTGCAACAGTGACCCTCCAAATCTCAGCCTCCTGAGTAGCTAGGATTATAAGCATGAACCACCGGCACCTGACTTAGATCTTAGTTCCTAAAAGGTGAGATACAGATGGCTGAGTGGGGCAGGAGCCATGGTGACTTACTGAGCCGCAAAGCTGACATCTAGGCTGCACATGTGGGAAGGATACAGTTATGTGGAAGGGGATGAGATGGTCTCTATGACAGTGGTTGCCTCAGAGTTAAAAGATAGAAATAATGTCAAAAGCCAGAATGTGCTGGCTGCTCCTCATGTCAAAGACTTTATTACTCTTTTTGAACTCAAGTTCAAATTGGAAGAAAAAAATGATTAAAGGCAACTTGTTGATTACACAGTACCTCGGGAATGTCCATCATTCTCCTCAACTTCTGATCTCTCCAGTTCCAGTCGAAAACCAAAAACTTTAATGGGTTCAAATTAAGGCCATCTGAAAAAGACGGCGAGAGGGTTGCTATAGTTAAAAAAAAAAACCTCATGACACAGCTTGTTAAAACGACTTTTACTCTCCCGGTTGCTTTTTGCTTGATTTGCTGCACAACTAATCTCTGCACATAAAGCGCTCTTCCCTGATGGAAAACAAACACAGCACTCTGGGACTGACAATAGACTATCACTGCTTCCAGAAAAGGAAAAGGCTATTTAGCTAAACCTGTCCGTGCTCATTGCTAGGCAAGCCTCCCTTCCCTTTATCACAGTCAGAGGAGGATGAGGAAAGGAAGGTGTTGGGTGGTTTGGCAGAAAAGGATGTCAAGGTGAGGACTCTGGTCTGTCAGCTCTCTTTTGATGAGGCTGGTGAATCCTTTTCCCATTGTCTTTTGGCCTATCTAGAAGACAAGTACTGAATGTGAGGCTGCAGAGCTCAACAGCTTCTTAAATGAGTTTTTTCCCAAGAGAAATAAGCCTTCATATACGGACTTTCCCCAACTCTGTATCAATATACTCCCAACAAATGCTGTCTGGACAGCATTTTTCTTTTTTTTGCCAGTCATGGGGCCTGAACTTTGGGCCTCAGCTCAAGGCTAGTGCTCTACCACTGGAGCCACAGCACCACTTCCAGCTTTTTCTGCTTATGTGGTGCTGAGGAATTGAACCCAGGGCCTCATGCATGCAAGGCAAGCACTCTACCACTGAGCCACCTTCCCAGCCCTGGACAGCATTTTTTCAGCACTATAACATGCTAATGTGGGAAATTGCTTAAAGAGTGAATCACCTTGACAATAAAAAAAAAAAAAAAAAAAGTGAATATTTAGCTAAGAACTATGAAGGAGGCAGAGACCAGCCTGAAAGTCCATCCCTGGCCTCTTCTGACAGCAAATCTCCCAAATTCCTTCTCATATGACTATTACTATTATCACTCATCTGTTTATTAGCTTTCAATGTCTTCCTATGTCCAATGACAAAAACAATCCAAACTGCTCAGTTTACTGTTCAAGGTTCTATCTCCACTATCTGACCTTTATCCAATGGAATCACCTGTGACTATAGTTCATGAAGCCTCATAACACTAGTAACTCCAGAAATGCAGCTTTCCTTGTCTGCCAGGGGCTGTTCAATGTCGTGGTTGTCTGCATTTGCACACAACCCTGTATATGGTATTCTCCATTAACCCTGGGTGATTTTGATCTGGAGAGGAAGAGTAGTAATTTTATATTTTGGTGGCTTCCTGGCAAATGACCTTCTCTGCCCTGAATTACTATATAGATTAACATATTACTTTAAGATACATAAAATAACAGGAATAGTTCTAGACAAATAAAATTCTATTACTATATTAAGTACATTTTTTTGGAAAAGAAGGAAGTCATTAAAGTCATTTGAAAGAAAAGAAGTGATTAAATCTGGTAGGTAGTAATAGAAAATAAGATGATGATCAGCAGGTTAGCAGGCCCTTAGGATAGTGGATTAGTCTGGAATACTTTCTGGGAGAGAGCTAAAAGAGAAATGTGTTTGTATTGTGAAATAGCTCTGTTTCATTCACAGAAAATGCATTTTTGTCTTAATATGTGCTATATGTCAGCCCTTAACCAGAATAGGAATCTCTGGGAACCAAGATTCAATGGAACCAACATATACAGCTTGATTAATATCAGAGAAGGGGAAAAAAAGTGGATGCAGGCTGTGTGGATCCACTAATCTGCTACAGCAATTGGAATGTGGATATGTTCTGGTAGGTTAATATGTTCCATTAGTCACTGCCCTCATCTCCCATTCACTGGGCTTACCGGGCAGCCAAATTCAAAGACTAGAGGCTGAGTTTCTCACTGGGAAATTAACAGGTTTGGCTTTTCTATATCTCAAATGTGTTTTTCTAGATTCACATGTGGATAAAGAAAACTCCTAACTCTGCATGGGAGTATCACTGCTGCTTTTTCATACCTTGTTTAATGAGTTCTTTAATTCTCCCAGGAGTTCCCACACCCAAGTGCACCACACGCTTCTCCAATAACTTTACTTGCTCCTGAACCTATTGCAAGACAGAAGAGAAGAAAAGTACAGTCATAGGCTAAGTTTGAGCATTTAATCTCAGAATTAAGAAAGTAAAAAGCAAGTAAAACCACTTTGTTTACACCAGCTTCCTGAGCAAAAAAGATCTCCCTAGGAAATTGGTAAACCCTAATAGAGTTAAATTTTGGCTCTCTCTGGGAATAGGGCAGAGGTAGCTGCTATACAGGGGCACAAAATTCAAAGGAAGCCAGAATGAGTGTAAATGTCATGTAAGGAAAGCATCAAAGACAACGAAGAGAGAGGGGTGAAGGGAAAACACTGAGGTCTGGGAGTGGCTCATGGGGATTACTTAGTTTCCCATTAGAAATAAAGGTTCTTGCTTACCTTTATATGTTTTGCAAATAATTTCATAACTTTGCTGTCTCCTCTGAATGCTGTCATTGACCTAATGAAAAGCAATAGATAAATGTAATTGATAATATTAAGAGATTAAGACAATTCACTGATTCTGGGTTGTACTAAGCAATATATCTTCCTTTACTCAAAGACTATGTGCATACATAAGCATAAGCATGTGTATATCTCCACATAAGCATAAACATTTCTGAGATTTCAGGTTAGTCTACCTGCAGTGAAAGTGGGGGGGTGGCATGATGTCCTCTCCTCTCTTTTCTCTTCCCTTCCCTCCCTTTTTCCTACTCCCTCCCTTTCCCTGGCCCCTTCCTTCTTTCCTTTACATCTTTTCTAAGATAGGGCTTTACTTAACTTGTCATGTAACTCAGGATGGTCTCCAACCCCTCCCTTTGATTTTCTCACTTCTATTTTTAATTTGCTTCTGTTTCCATTGCCTGTTTTTAAAAAAATTTGTTGTATGTATTTCAATATATCACCTAAAATTATGTTTTCAGTTGAAGTGGATATAAATGAACACACAATCTTTTCATTGATATTTAGGGATAGACCTCACATGTGAATATTGCTTTCCTTTATGTGTTATTATATAATGTTTGGGGAATATCATTGACCAGGAGAAAACAAGTTTGTAAAATATTGAATTATTCTGCAAACTCAAGTCCTAATGCATGTGAATTTTTACTTATAAATATACTTTCTCATGACAAAGTTAATTAGAGAAACAACTGAACAGAACTCATGGCTCTCATGACACAGATGTTCTTAGAAAATTCTTAGAGAATTATTAATCATTAGTTGGTATGAAAAAGGTTCCTTGTGCTTGTTCAGAAATAATCTTTAGCAGATCTTTTAGCCTTGAATTGGATCATAATATTACTGTGGATGCAAAAAAATGGTAAGAATCAGTAAATGAAATAAGACAACACATTGCTTTTATGCCCCTTAGAAAATAATTTAAATACAGGGAAGGTTCAGTTTCAAAGAGGTCAGCTTCAGGTCAACCTTATGCCATTAGCATTTCAATCTGAAATGAGTTCTTTGGTACTTTTTTTTTTTTTTTGTGGGTCCTGGGGCTTGAACTCTGGGCCTGGGCACTGTCCCTGAGCTCTTTTGCTCAAGGCTAGCACTCTGCCACTTTGAGCCACAGTACCACTTCCTGTTTTTTCAGACTTTCTGGGCTGGTTTTGAACAGAGATCCTCAGATCTCAGTTTCCTTGGTAGCTAGGATTACAGGCATGAGCCACCAGCTCCCCACTTGGGGCACTTTTTAAAGCACTAAAAAGTAAATGTGAATTGCTGTGATTCCAGGTTCAGCAAGTGCAACTGCTTAAAAATCAGAATATTGAAGATCAATTCTGTTAGAAATAGTCAAAAGGAACACTGATGCTTTATTGGGAGAGCATGAGATATAATTTAATTTGTGTCCTGGGGTAGACAGAGGAAGGTTTGAAAGCCGGGCACTGGGGGCTCATGCCTGTAATCCTAGCTACTTAGGAGGCTAAGAGCTAAGGATCGTGGTTCTAAGCCAGCTTGGGCAGTAAAGTCTGAGACTCTTATCTCCAATTAACCATCAGGACACTTGGCTCACTCCTCCATTTCATTCTAGTCTCTGTTCAAATGTCACCTCCTTAGAAAAACTTTTAAAAAATCTCTTTAAAAATTACTGTCTACTTTGATTTCATGCATGCTTTATTTTTTCTAAACACAATATATTACTTATTCATATTATAATAAACTCCTTGGGGTTTTTTATCTGTTTTCCCCATGGAATGCAAATTCCATGAAGGCAGGGACTCTTTTTTTGTTCATTGCTCTATACCTCCCCCACATAGACTACTAGGCTGACACAATCATTTACTCAGAAAACATTCCTAACCTGATGAGCTCCAGGGCTCGGATGGCAGAGCTGCAGATGATCAGCATCAGGAGTGACTTCTTCTCAGTATGGTTTTTCCGAAGTTTCATCCACTTAGGACAGACTGAAGAAAAGATCACAAAAAATTATTCTGAATATAGCAGAACAGGGACTTCCAAAGTTGAGTATTCTCGAAATATTTCTTTGGTTGTGTTTAAGCATAATAAAAAACAATGAGTAGTTCTCATTATAATGATAATTCTGTTATTTTCTGTTTATTCTAGATATTAGAATTCTTAGCAAAATTAAGATTAATAGACTTTGCCAGAGAACCATGTAGACATCCAGATACAGAGAACAAAGAAAGGTTTGCCTGGAAAGGGGGCCAGAAAGACTCCTTCTCACAAGGGAGGAATGAGAAGAAGCACCGGCTATAGTCTGGGGTGACCTATATAACCTAGGGGTTTAGGAGGGGCTAGAAGAGACTAGGAGGCGGGGACTGTGATGTGGACATGTGGGCCAGGGGCTTCATTGTGTCAGACTAGGATTTATGGCTACTATCCAAATGGTAGATAAGGGTCTTGCAACTGCCCAGACCTGAAGGTCACTCTAAAGGGCTCTTGTTGCCTTCTGCCACAGAGAAGAGCCATCCCAAGGTAAAGGAGGTTGGAAGTTGATTATTTACTGCCTTTACTACATGGGCCTAGTGCTGCCTAGGAAGGGAGCATGCTAAGCTGTGGAGAAGGGAAGGAGTGGACTAGGCTATAGGAAGGGACTTAATTTGCTAACAAAAATATAATATGCCAAAGAGCTAAAAAATGGCTAATTTTAGAACTAAATAAAAAAAGTTCAGCATATTATATTTTCAATATTAAGTTTATGTTTGGAGACAATGCTGATTAAATAGAATTCTGATCAAATAATAATAAGACCAGTCTGGGCTACATAGTTAGATGTTGCCTTGAAAGAGACAGAGAGAAGGAGGAGAAAGAGAGACATAAAGAGAGAAAGAGAGAAAAAGAGAAAGAAAATGAAAGAAAACATCAAGATAAAACTATCAACCATTTCTGGGCTGGGAAGGTGGCTCAGTGGTAGAGTGCTTCCCTTCCATGCATGAGGCCTTGGGTTCGATTCCTCAGCACCACATAAGCAAAAAGAAAAAACCCGGAAGTGGCGCTGTGGCTCAAGTGGTAGAGTGCTAGCCTTGAGCTGAAGAGCTGAGGGACAGCGCCGAGGCCCAGAGTTCAGGCCCCAGGACCCGATCCCCCCCATAAAAACAAAAACAAACCAAAACCAAAAAACTATCAACCATTTCCACTTGGAATACACTTAAGGTAGAAATTTTTATTTTGAATTTAGCCTTAAAAGTTACTTTTTATATATATATATATTTTTTGGTTGGTCATGGGGCTTGAACTCTGGTCCTTCCGCTTTTTAGCTCAAGGTGAGTGCTCTACCACTCGAGCAACAGCACCACTTCCGGTTTTCTAGTGGTTTATTGGAGATAAGAGTCTCCTGGACTTTCCTGCCTGGGCTGGTTTTGAACCATGATCCTCAGATCTCAGCCTCATGAGTAGCTAGGATTACAGGTGTAAGCCACTGGTGCCCGGACTTTTTATACATTTTTAATAGAATAGTAAATTGGGAAATATTTTTATTTTTTTTACAAATTGGAATTTACTTACTTTCTTTTAGGTATGATGAAAGACTGTGAGTCAAATCATTGGCTTGGAGGAAACAGGAGTCTAGAAATATGAGAAAATATGTTTGTAGAGAATTTTGCAAACATCATATGAGTAAAGGAAATACGAATGAAGAATTAAAAAACATTAGGAGGTTCATTAATAGTAAAAAAAACTAGCAGCAAAATCAACCTATTATGGAGTTGTCCATAATTTTTTTTTGTGAAATAAAACCTTTTTTGTATCAGCTGGAAGACTGATGAATCAACCTTATTTTAAAAAAATCTATGCAGTATACAAAGGCAAAGTGAAGTGTCCCACAAATGTTTGAGAGTCAAACTCAATTACCAGAGAAGTGTAATATAATGTGATTAGGAAACACAAAGAGCCAATGTTAGAAAGATTTATACTGCCAACTGTTGAGAGTATAAGTTGATAAGAACAGCGCCAACTGAGGATGCAATTGTAAATTGGCATTCCTAATCTGCAAAGCAGTAATCTTGAGATCATATACACTATGAGCCCCTGATTTCATTTCTGGGTAACTGATGGAAAGAAATTCTTCTTCTTCTTTTTTTTTGTTTTTGTTGGTCGTAGGCCTGAATTCTGGGCCTGGGTGCTGTCCCTCAGCTCTTAGCTTAAGGCTAGCTCTCTAACACTTGAGCCAAAGCTCCACTTCTGTTTTTTGCTTCTTATGTGGTGCTGAGGAATTGAACCCAGGGCCTCATGCATGCAAGGCAAGTGCTCTACCACTGAGCCACTTTCCCAGCTTCTGGAAATAATTTCTTTTTTGGTTGGTTGTGGGGCTTCAACTCTGGGCTAGGGCGCTGTCCCTACACTCTTCAGCTTAAGGCAAATACTCTACAGAGTAAGTCATAGCACCACTTCTGGTTTTCTAGTGGATTATTGGAGATAAGGGTCTCATGGCCTTTCTTGCCTGGGCTGGCTCTGAACTGTGATCCTCAGATTTCAGCCTCCTGAGTAGTTAAGATTACAGGTGTGAGCCACTGGCACCTGGCTTGGAAAGAAATTCTTATATGGCTGATAGAGCAGCACATACAAGGATATTCATTCTGACAATCTAGTTGGAATAAGATGTGGAATGTAATGTAGGTATTGATATCAGGGAACATAGAAGAGTACTAGCTGGTAAATGAAAAATCCAAAATAGCAGCATCTAGAAACTGACTAGATGGTCATAATGTCACACAGGCATATCAGCAAAAGATGTGAGGTAAAGAAAGAAACAGAATGAGGGGATTAGCACAATGTCATTTGGATAAAATTTAAAATGTATACACATATATATATATAATTTCAAATTATATGCAAATACATACACTTAAAAATACATAGCTATACATTAGAGTAAATGCTTACACTAAAAGGAAATAGAATGTGGATTTTGGAAGATAAGAAAAATGTCCAAAATACAACACAATACAACTTTACCATAAAATGCAACATAACTCATTAAAATAAAACATGCATGTCGCTGGGTGCTGGTGGCTCAGGCCTATAGTCCTAGCCACTCAGGAGGCTGACATCTGAGGACTGCAGTTTGAAGCCAGCCCAAGAGGAAGATCTCCATGAAACTCTTATCTCCAATTGACCACTCAAAAACTGGGAGAGGTGCTATGGCTCAAGTGGTAGAGCTCTAGCCTTGAGCATAAAGAGGCTCAAGGACAGTGCCAAGGCCCTGAATTCAAGCCCCATAACTGACAAAAAAAAAATGCCTTTGTGTATCATTGACAATGATGGCCTATAAATGATTAATATTGCTAACTCAATAAAATAGTAACTCTAACCAGCAATGTTACCATCATCAACTTAATTCTTTCTGTAAGAAAAAGTTCCTCTATAAACACAGCAATGTTACTGTTACTGAATTAAATAAAATATTGTAATCTACATTTTGTAAATAGCTTCAAAGATATTGCTTCTTAATACCATTTTGGAGCCCCTGATTGTCTTTCAAACTGCATTTCTCCAAGATTGTATATGCTCAGATTCACCTGGAGAGCTTTAAAAAAGATATACAGATATATCAAGAAGCACTGTACTCATAACCTGACTTAGGAAGTTTTAACCTCTTTGTACAATCACTTAATTAAAAAAATTAGATGTAATGATGGATACTCTTGGCAAAGTGGTTCAGAATCCTTTGAAGGTAGGCCTAGGTAGCTTTTTAAGAAATCCTTAGGTGATTTGTTTGCAGCTAGCCTACAGGCATTCATTATCATTAATCTAAACCACAACATAGCTCTCAAAAGACAGCAGCAGGTTAATGAGTTTCCAGTGTCTTGTCTTGAAACCCTAATTAAGTGTCTATGAGTACGACATTAACAGTGTATAGAGCACAATGCTAAATTAAAAAGTCATGTTCCCAATCCTTCTGACATACAAACAATCTCAAATTAAAACCAAGTTAGTTTCCAGGCGTGCTGGCACAAGCTGGTAATCCCAGCACTTGGAAAGCTGAGACAGGAAGATTAAGGCCCAGCAGGGACTATTTAGTGAGCTCAAGGACAGCCTAATACCTTTGAGACCTTATCTCATAAGTGAGACCCTTCACAAACTGAATATGAACAAGAGATTATTGTTTATATCCAGTTTACACGTACGCTTCTTCCTGAGCCTATTCCAACACCCAGTGGCATCCCCCTCTTCTCACCTGGCATGGAGTTCCTTTTTGACGAGACTGTCCTCGGTCTTGTCAGCATAGCAAACAGGACATTCTCTCCTAATCCTTTCAGTGATGGTGGAAGACACACTTTGTTTCAGAATGGCATCATTTCTTTTGATTTTATTTGCCAGTCCTGGGGCTTGCACTCAAGCCTGTGCACTGTCCATGAGCTTCTTTTACTTAAGGTTAGGCACTCTACCACTTGAGACATGGCGCCACTTCTGGCTTTTTCTGTTTATCTGGTACTGAGGAATTAAACCCAGGGTTTCATGCATGCTAGGCAAGCACTCTACCACTAAGCCACATTCCCAGCCTGGCCCAACTTCTTACTTGTTCATTTTGACTAGATTTAACATACTTTTTTTTTTTTTTTGGTCTGGTTATGGGGCCTGAACTCTGGGCCTGGGTACTGTCCCTCAGCTGCTACTTCTGGCTTTTTTCTTTTTGCTTATGTGGTGCTGAGGAATCGAACCCAGGGCCTCATGCATGCAAGGCAAGCGCTCTACCATTGAGCCACCTTCCCAGCCCCTTAACATACTTTCTTTCCCTCCTAAACAAACTCATGACCCTACGTTCTTGCCTGACTGTATGACACAATACAGTTTAAACAACTATTTAACAACAGTGTACTAAAACAATACTTTAACATAAATTCACTATGGAACTTAGATGACCCATTAAAGCCTTCTTTGGACCTTTAACTCATTATGTAGGAAGAAATAAGGTTTATGATGTACCATGAGGTGACAGGATGGTAGTGTAGTTCTAAGTTCCAAGTTTTCTCCAACAAGAACCACTGAGTCACATGGTTAAAAACTAAACTTCAACTAGGCTTGGAAAGTGGTTTTGTGACAACACTTGGTTGTTGCCATAGAGCAGTGAGACAGGGCTCAAACACCCAGGAGCTGGGAAGAGTGGTTTCTAACTGTTGCTTAGCCCTCTGGGCTCACTTAAGCCTACAATTCTAGATCTTGCTCATATGTAAATGCACTATTCTATTCCCAATAGGTAACTGTCTTGGAAAAGAAACAGACAGGGCACTCATGTTTCCAAACCCAAAATACACTTAAAAAAAGTATATCACAATAGATTTATAAAAATTCGGGGAACTAACTGTTTTTCAGCTTCTCAAGTTTCTAAAAACATAAAAGCTGTAATGGAAAAAGGAAATAAAGCTACTCTTAACTTTTTCCACAAGTCATCTTAGTGATCCCCTGTCATTTATAAACAGCTCATCTGAAATAGTTACCCAAACATTTTATGCTTTGCTTTTAGGATAACATGTGTTTTCCCCTATGCTTGCCCAATAAAGTTACAGGATGTGTCATAATTTAAAAAATAAGCAAAGGTAATAATTTTAAGTTTGTAATTTGCTTTAACTTAATTAAAGATACTCTAATTCAGTAGACCTTAAACTGATAGGCTTAAGAATCATTTGAGTATGGTGTCAATTTTGTTAAAAATGAACAATTTTGATAGTCTGTTTAAAGAAATCTGGGCTACAACTCAAAAAACTACTCTAAAAATAAAACCTTGGCTAAGAAAAACATGAGAGAGGCAATAATACAACAAGGACGCTTATGAAGGTTTAGATGTTTTTATCTGAAAGGGAGGCATCAACTCAATTTCCCATCTATATTTTCAAATGTGGTGAATTATCCTAATTTTAGTTTAACTCATATCCTCATTAGTGACTCTTTCTCTTTGAAGAGTCTTCTAAAAATGCATTCCTAATAATTACTTTGGGACTGAAAAAGAACATACTATCACAAATTTCAGTATTATATTCACCAAATATTTGTAGTACCCTAATAATAGGGTACTAGTTCAAACTACTATGTTGAAGAAAGGAGCATTATCACATGGAAAATAGATGAGTTTGCCAGCTGAGATACCTAACCATAATATACCATAAAAACAGAATGAACCTGTTTTGTTCCCCATCCTTAGAAAAACTGAAGTCTAGCTGTACCTGGTAGGTTCAATTCTTCTAATTCAATCACTGAGCGATTGCTGCTGTAATAATCCTTTATCAGCTTCTGTAGGTCTTCAGGTATCCCTGGTTTGGGTTCTGATTTTGCAAGAATATCAGTAATTTTTTTCTAAGACAGAAGAGATAAAAACAGAAGACAAATTTTACAGTGGTAGTGGCTTGAATTAATGCCTCTGGTATGAGGATTAATGAGTAAATGAGTGAGTGAATGAGTTTTAATATCTACATTTGAGAAAGTTATTGAATACTTCTGAGACACAACTATTATTTTAAAAATTAGGAAGGTGTTCTAAAAGGCTTTTTGTAACTCTTGGTCTATGACTTTTAGGAGATCTGAAATTTCTGAATGAAACTCCACAATAGGGAATTTTTGGTTAAAAGTCAATTTTTTTAACATCTTTTTGCAATGGAAATTTCTTTTTGCTTTAAATGATCTTTATTCTTTTTTTTTTTTGGCCGGTCATGGGGCCTGAACTCTGTGCCTGGGTGCTGTCCCTCAACTCTTCAGCTCAAGGCTAGTGCTCTACCACTTGAGCCATAGCACCACTTCTGGCTTTTTTCTGCTTATGTGGTGCTGAGGAATCGAACCCAAGGCCTCATGTATGCATGGCAATCACTCTACCACTGAGCCACCTTCTCAGCCCTGATCTTTATTCTTGGATAGAATTTTTGAGAATTTGAGGTGCCCAGTCTCTGGATTTCTGACATTCAAATTACACCTGCAGTACTAGTTTGAGCACAATAGACCATTGAAAAGCACATTTAACAGCCATGATTCTCAAGTTTGGGGAGACTGACAATCTTAAAATGGCCCTATGGAAAGTAAGATAGGTATTACAGGAAGTACTTTGATTTGGACTTCTAATTTTAATTTGGACTCATTTGTGTATGCTTGGAACTTTTATTGAATGCTGGGAACACACACACTTACTTCAGTTTCACTATAAACTTCCCTTCTCATTTCCTTCGTATGTTTCACCGAAGATTTAGAAGGGGCCTTGACCTAACCTCTCACCCAGTTTTCTTCCCACCTTCCCTGATAACTTCACACAACACTACTGCCAAGAATGGTCAAGTTTCTGTCAAAGACAGAACCTTTTCAACATGTCACCAGTGGGCATATTTTAGCATGGTCTTGACCAAGGCTAAATTATCAAGCTAGAGTTCTGACCTTGAGCACTAGAACTTAACACTCCTGACAGGCCATTAATGTACAAATTATTAAAGAGAAGTTAAAGTCACTTTAAGGACTTGCCAAACCTCAAGCCCATTTGGCATCTCTTGTTTTCCTATTTGGCTGTTTGTGAGAAAAGAAAACATATGCATGCACACTCTTAAATTTTCTAAAACTTGCTGTTAAGCAACTGGTTTGAGTCAATCTTCTTTCTTCTAATCTCAATCACATTTCTTCTGCTGGCTTTAGCAGTAGACCTTTCTTGGCAGGAAGAGAACTGTACTGCTGTTCTCACAACTCTGGTGGAAGGTGAAAGATATCCTAAGTCTGAGTGAGCTCTAAAAAATGTTTATATAGGAGCAAAAGTCTTCTATGTGCAAAGGTATATATTAGAATGGAAGGTGACCTTTTGCTTTAAATCAGTTAGAAATGTCTTATACTCCTTCACCTGCTTTTTTTTTTCTAGTGCTCTAGAGTATAAAATCTTAAAAACTGAAATTAGAGAGATAAGGAATTTGGTAAATTTCTTTTCTTGGAAAAAAACAGGAGTCAGTAGGGAGAATAGTTCTGGGCCACTTCTAGAATTAGATTAGGTTATAACACTTAACCATAATGAAAACACAGGTATGATAACAAAGATGTTGGTGTTCTACAAGATTGAAATAGGAGTCAGAAGAATTTATTTTTAGTCCCAACAGAAAATCTTATTGTTAGTAACTTTAGGGAAATTGATAAACCTTATTGAACCTTACAGTTTCTGTATCACATATTATAATAGTTTCTGCACCAAAATATGACATACAAAAATGTGACAGAGGGGTTGGAGGTATGGCTCAGTTAGTAGAGCACTAACCAATAGTCAAATGTGTCAGATGGTGAGTCTGAGTCCTGGTTTTGGGACAAAAAAAAAAAAAGTAAGACAAAAAAATGTGATGGAAACCACAGCACAGTAATGAATTGTAAACATTACCTTTCTCCTCTTCCTAGTCTTGATGGCATCTTCTTTTGTTTCCTTTGGTTGTGTCAAGAAACATTCCTTAGGCTGTAATGAAACACAAATGAGAAATGTTTCATCTTTGCATGATGAAGTGTATGGTATTTTCACAATAATAAAAAAATAGAGCAAATGAAGATAAAAAAACGAATAGCTAAGTACTCTATTCATATCTGATAAGAAAACCAGAGGGAAGAAAGAATGTCTCTTCATACTGATAAATGGAAGAATCCACCAAGGATATAGCAATGTAAGTCTAAGTGCTGTAAACATTGATACAACTAATTTCATCAAATACTAGTAGATATAAAGGTTCAGAGAAACCCAAGACAATCCTAATGGGTGACTTTACCATCCTATTCTCACCATTAACTAGGTCATTCAAACAAAAAAAATCAGTAATGAAAGTCAGAGCTGAATGAAACTGTATTTTTAAATGAACTTAATGGACACTTAAGGAATAGTCAATCCAACAGCTGCAGGGTACATGCTCTTCTCAGAAGCTCATAGAACCCCTCCAAAACAGAGCTTTGTTAGGATGTAAAGCAGACCTTAAAAAAATAATCTAAAAAATTCTTATGTTATTTCTTCTCAGATGGGATATCTAAAAATAGAAAGGGGACCAGTGGGAGGGCAGTGGTAGATAAGTATGAGTGGAGAAAATATGACAAATATACTTTACATACATATGTATAGAAATGATATAATTAAGCCACTATTTTGTGTAGTTAATATACCCTAATACAAATTTTTTATTTTTTGGGGTCTGGTTGTGGGGCCTGAACTCTGGGCCTGGGCGCTGTCCCTCAGCTCTTCAGCTCAAGGCTAGCGCTCTACCACTTGAGCCACAGCACCACTTCCGGCTTTTTTCTTTTTGCTTATGTGGTGCTGAGGAATTGAACCCAGGGCCTCAGGCATGCAAGGCAAGTGCTCTACCACTGAGCCACCTTCCTAGCCCCTAATACAAGTATTTTTAAAATGTTGAGCACAATGGTACATGTTTGAAATCACAAGTACTCAGGAGGTAGAGACTGGACAATTGTTATTTGAGCCAACTGGGGCAAAAAGTTAGTGAGGTCCCATCTCAGCCAAAAGCCAGGCATGGCTGTTCACATATTTTAATCCTAGCTATGTAAGGCTTAGGTGGTAGGAATATGGTCTGAGTCTAAACCAGAGGGAACCCTTGAGACCCTATTTGAAAAATAAAAATAACAAAAGCAAAAAAGGCCTGGGGGAGTAGTGTAAGTGGTAGAGCCCTGTCTAGCAAGTGCAAGGTCATGAGTTAAAAGACTGGTACAACTAAGAGAAAAAAATGATTTATTTTTATTATCTTAAGTAGTTGTACAAAAGAGCATCATTCAACAAAGTAGTTTATGAATACAGTGCATCTTGATCTATGTCACCCCTTTTAATGTTCCCACTCATCCCCCACAGACTTCTTCTCTTATCAAGACCTCTTAATACCATTGATAGAAATATGATATTATCAATGGAAAATGGCTTCTAGATATTGAATAAAGTTTCTTTGTAAATTAGACTTTTATAACTTTTCTAACTATTAATCAAGCCTAACTTCTTTTTTTTTGAGATCTCAAAACAAAAGTTCTTCCTACATGAAGATATTGAAGGTTTTATTCTAGCAAAATGAAGAGTCAACCAAGAAAGGAGATATGAAAGTCAACAAAAAAGGGATCCATCCCAAGACCATATTGGAAGAGCATCTCAAGATAACTATCAGGAGGTCTCATTTGCTCAGTGGGCCCACAGGCTAACTCAGAGTAGAACAGGAGTGAGGAGGGCTACAGGGAAGAAAAATAGCTGATGTATTTGATCATATGGAAATTATTCATGGGCTTACAGAAAAGCGGCTAAACCATATTGAATCAATTAACAAAAGGAACACAGAAAGGCAGGCAAATAATGAGGCAATTATTAATACCACCAAATAGAGTTGTGTATGGCAAAGAGATGATTATAGCTTTTCTTTTTCTCAGCTTTGAGCAGTTATTTCCATTGTCACAATAATATAATAGTGACTGATTTAACCAAAATATGATATAGTGTAAGCATGGGAAGAAGCAGATTGAGAGTAAATAGATAGTAGATGGATGGAGCTATGTGGTCTTACGCAATGTCCAAAGGTTAGTAGGTTAAGCCAAAAATTGGTAAACTATCAAGGTAACAATAGGAAAAAAAAAAGAAGCTGAAGGTGACTCTGAGGAAAAAACAGGATGAAGGAGGAGAAAAAAAAATAATAATCTTCAATGGCATTTAACTTTCCTTTTTGTAAAAGATATAGATGATTACTATATTGGTAGGAATAAGCTATTTAAACTGCCATCTTATAACTAAGCACACATGTTCATTACAAAATTAAAAGCAATTTAGAATGGGCTTTTCATTTTTTGGAGGGCTTAGTCAAAAGTTACTCAATATACACCCACCACAATGTCTAAACTTAAAAGACCAATAACTGAAATGCTGACAAGGATGTAATACAATCCAAATCCTCAAATATTGAAGGGGGAACATTAAAATGGTACAATCATTCTGGAAAAAAATTTCATAAAACTAAACAAAGCTCTCGGCAAGAGTCATGTATTTACTCAAGAGAAATACAAATATACATGATGAAAGTCATGTACGTGAATGTTGATGGCAGATTTATTCATAATATTTCCAAACAGGAAAGAGTCTCGGGTGTTCATCAATAGAAGAGGGAATAAACAAACTAGGATATTCATATAATTCTCACTGTTAGAAGCTAGAAAAATGGCCGAAATTTAGTAGTGTTGCACATTAAAGGAAACAATAACCAGATCAAAGAGAAGCCTACAGAACTGGAAAAAAAAAGCATGCTAGCTATTCCTATACAAGAGATTAATCTGCTATTAAAACTAGAGTCTTCCAAAAATGTTTAGGTCTGATAAATACTTTGGGCAAAACAGCAGGATACAAAATTAATACAGAAAAACAGTAGCTTTTCTATGTGCTAGTAATGAACAGGCCGAGAGAGAAATAAGGAAAACATATTAATCACAATAGCCTCAAAAGAGTAAATCCCTAAGACTATATAGACTAACCAAGAAGGTGAAAGACTTCTACAATTGAAAACTGTAAACTTTGAAGAAAGAAATTAAAGAAGATATCCAGATATAAAAAGATCTTCTAGATTCATGGATTATTAAGAATTAATATTTTGAAAATGCCTATACAACTAAAAGCAATGTTCAGATTCAGTGTAATCCTCATAAAAATTCCAATGCTATTTTTTACAGAAGTAGAAAAATAAACTGTGACATTCATATGGAGTACAAATTCCTTTAACAGCCAAAGCAATTTTGGGTAAAGAGAATATGTATCATGATATCTGACTTCAAATTATACTATAGAGTAACAGTAATAAAAACAGCATGGAACTGGCACAAAAACAGATATATAAAGCAAAATGGAGAAGAAGGTACTATATATAGAGAAGGCCTATATATAGCAATCTTACTTTTGACAAGAGAGTCAAAAACATACTGGAGAAAAAACAGCTTCTTCAGCAAATGGCAAATGGTGCTGAGAAAAATAGATTTTCATGTAGAGGACTAAAATTAGACACCTCTCCCCCCCATCTGTCAGCCTGTACAAAAATTAATTCAAAGTGAACCAAACTAACCTAAAATCTTTTTTTTTTCTTTTTTTTTTTTTGTCGGTCGTGGGGCTTGAACTCTGGGCCTGGGCGCTGTCCCTCAGCTCTTCAGCTCAAGGCGAGCGCTCTACCACTTGAGCTACAGTGCCACTTCCGGTTTTCTGGTGGTTTATTGGAGATAGGAGTCTCACGGTCTTTCCTGCCCGGGCTGGCTTTGAACTGTGATCCTCAGATCTCAGCCTCCTGAGTAGCTAGGATTACAGGCGTGAGCCACCAGCGCCCGGCAGTCTAACCTAAAATCTTAATGTAAGACTCAAACATTTGAAACTACTAGAGGAAAACTAGAGGTAGGCACAGGCAATTACTTTTTGAACAGGATTCTATTAGTTGAGGAAATAAGAACAAAAATTTACAAATAGGATTGCTTTAAACCTAAAAGCTTCTGCACATCAAAGGAAACAATGACCAGAACAAAGACATAGCCTACAGCTGGGTGCCAGTGGCTCTATGCCTGTAATCCTAGCTACTCAGGAGGCTGAGATCTGAGGATCACAGTTCAAAGCCAGCCTGGGTAGGAGGAAAGGCCATGAAACTCTTATCTCCAAGAAATCACTAGAAAACCGGAAGTGGTGCTGTGGCTTAGGTGGTAGAGTGCTAGCCTTGAGCTTAAGAGCCCAGGCCTAGTGTCCACAACCGACAAAGAAAAAAAAAAAAAGGCAAATAAATGAAATAGACAATTCTCAAAAGAAGTAAAAATAGCCAGCAAATACGAGAAGAAATGTTAAAAATTTTAATTAAGTTGTAAAGGAAATGCAAACCAATACCACATTGAGATTCTATTTCACCCTAGTCAGAATGACAATCATGACAGAAACAACAGGTGCTGTGGAGAATGTGGGGGAAGGAAAAAAAAACCATGACTGTAGTTAGTGAGAATGTAACTCTGTCCAGCCATGATAGAAATCCTGATGAAGATTCCTCAAATGAACAAAAACAAATGACAACATGATACTACTATACCTCTCCTGGCCATATATCCAAAGGGATGTAAGTCAGCACACAGTAGACAGTTGCACATCCAAGTTTATTGTGGCATTGCTCATAATACCTATGCATTTGAACCAACCTAGGTACTTAATAAGGCAATGTGATATGTGAGTGTAAAATGGAATATTATTCAGCTATAAAGAAAAAAATCCTCACACACAAAATATGTATTTACTCTATTTATATATTTGACATTAAAAGGAGGAATTCTTTGGAGAGGGAAAGGAAACCAGGAAGAAAAGGGGAGGGTAGAGAAGGGTAGGAGGAGAGGTGAAGGTAAGGGTAACTGTGACTGAAGTACATTGTATGCATACATAATTATAGCACAATGAAAACAATTAAGAATTGCAAAATAATACACAATAAAAAGAAGGCAAGAAAAGTAATCAGATAAAATGAAGAGATTGATTTCTGTCTTTAGCATTCTAGCTCACTCCCTTTGGATCAACTGGCCTGGGGGAAGCCAATTGCAAGGCTTGGAGGTAATCCTTTCGAGATCTGCCAACAACCACATGCGTGAGCTTGAGTTTGAGGGTGGACTCTCCCCAGATGAGCCCCTAATCCAGTGAACAACTCAGCTGGCATTTGATGAAAGATCTAAAGTCAGAGATGCTCAGCTAAGCCAGGCTGGTGAGATAATTATTATTTTTTGCACTATTGGGCAATTTGCTGACAAACAATACATTGCAAATAAAAGAACAGAGCGGAGACACTATCATGAAAAAGGAAAAAGGTGAATTAGAGAGTATAAAGCACATAGTTTAGATTTCTTTTAACAAGAATCAGAAGTGATTTTGGAAATAAGTGAAAAGAATATGAAATGATGTAATCCTACGAACATAAAACCCAGTGATCAAGGAGCAGAGGGATAAATACTTTTTGAAAGATTTTTATGATTCAAGGAGATAAACAAAAGGACAGATGAACAGCCCAGGACTGTCTCTGTAGGGGAGAGGCTGGGCCATGAAACCACTGAACAGCTACTGACATCACACAGGCATCAATGAAAAGTCACAAGATCCCTTGCATGGTTTTATATTCCGGGAACCACAACTACAAAGTCACTAGTGCTGGCTCTGAAATGACTGATGCTGATGAAGGAGAAGGGTGATGTAATCTCCAAGAGTAGAAGAGTTAAATCATTTGTCTTGGAAGCAATACATGGGAAAAAAAGAACTTCTGGCAAATGTTTATATTCATGCTATTGAGCAGGCCAAAGATGCTTATTTCAATGTGAAATGGTTGTTAGAGATGATGTAGTTGTATGGCTTAAAAAACCTGCATGAAGTTATAAATCTGCTACTTGACATTCTGGATAGATTGGAGGTATAGACACAGAAATACAACATGAAGCTCATTTGGGCAAAGGAGAGTGCCAGGTACCTCGGCAGATAGTCCCATCTGGTGACATTAAAGCCTATTGATTACAGATGACAGAAGAATGCCAGGTATTTATGTACATATATTAAGAAAAACTTTAAAAGAGCAGCATCTAAGAAAATTAGAAAAATTGCAAAATTTAAATATATTATGAAGTACTTTTTTTTCCCTGATACTTAGCCACAATGCCCAACACTGCTTGGTAACAAAGTAGTCATCCAAGAAACCCTGGTTCCAATGCACCAGATGGAGATAATGAAGTGATTCTTGGGGTGGGAGAATGAATTCAGGGGGTGGGGGAGAGAGGGAGAGGGGGAGACAGAGAGACAGAGAACATTTCAAGAAGCTGCCTGCAGTCAAGGAGGAGGCTGAATGATGGGATGAATGTTGAAAAAACTGAGTTCTGGTATTGTCAGCCATCCTTTATTTCAGAAGTAATAGTACCAATTTGGGACAAGGTTCAGTCCCAGGTGCTGTATGCATGTACTTTCTTCTCTCTCATTTTTTGTTCTTATAGTTCCCTTACATCTGTATAACGTGAAAGGAAAAGTCAAGGAGTTAGAACTATAAAAGGAGCTATATGAGCCAGGCATCCATGGCTCAGGCCTGTAATCCTAGCTACACAGGAGGCTGAGATCTGAGGACTGCAGTTAAAGTTCAAAGACAGCTAAGGCAGGAAAGTCTACAAGACCCTTATCTACAATTAAGCAGCAAAAAATCTGGGGTAGGAGCTGTAGTTCAAGTGGTAGAGCGCTAGCCTTGAGCAAAATACCTCAGTGCCCAGGCCCTGAGTTCAAGCCCACTTACAGGACACAACCCCCTCCCCTCGCCCCCCTCCTGCCCCAGCCCCTCCATAAGCTGGATAGTAGTAGGATATGAGGAAAAATATTTGGAAGTAAATTCTATAGTTGGGCAAATATAAAAAACAACATGGCTTTAATATTAAGGTAAAATTAAACTCCATCTTGAGGAAATGAATTAAAACACTAAGGATGTTAACTTGTAGGTCTCTGAAAGAATGGTTAAAACAAAAATTGGGTTTGAGCCTTTCAGCAAAACATTTAATAGTTGGAGAGGACACCAAAATGATTATTTCTTAAATATGTACACCATTTTATACTTCTCCTCCTTTAAAGGTAAGCTATGACCAAAATAAAAGACAAAGTACATTTCACTACAATAATGAACACTGATTACACTTTGTTAACCACAATTTGAACTGCTTAATGTGTAGTGACTCATTTAATTCTCATGCAACTTTGTGAGGATATATAATTATTATCAACATTTCACCAATACTGAGATACAAGCCAGGCACCAGTGGTTCACATCTGTAATCCTAGTAACTCAGGAAACTTAGATATGAGGATTGCAGTTTGAAGACAGCCCAGTCAGAAAAGTCCAAGAGATTCTATCTCCATTACGTCCCTCCAAAAACCCACTAAACTAGACTGGAGGTGTGGCACTAGAAGTAGAGTACCAGCTATGATCAGAAAAACAAGAGAGTAAGGCATTGAATCCAAGTTCCAGTACTTGCACTAAAAGAAAAAAAAAAAAAAGGAAAAGAAAAAGACTGAGGTGAGAGAGGTTTAACTTGCCCAATGTCACTACCATTATGCTAAATAGCTTCTCACAGTTATCCAAAACCTGGTAACACACTTTAGGTAGAGTCATCTTCTCAAGCAGAGATAGGGAATATCCAGCTCTTGGCCTATATAAGGCTCACAAATCATTTGGTATATGACAGGACAGATCTATGCTTCTTGTCAACTTCCTGAAGCCCACTGCCTATATTCATCATTTTATGTGCCCCCCCAAATGATGTAATCCACACAGCCATTCACAGAAAAAGGGCTCTCACCCTAGAATGGATTGAGTTTAGGGCTTTTACCTTAAGAGTAAGATCACAAAGCTATTAGTCTAATGAAAATGACAAACTTTGGTGACAGCAAACACTTCTTAAAAAAAAGGAAATCACACATGGATTTGCTCATCAAGTTTGAAAAAGAGCTGTAATTGTATACAAGTAGTATCTGAAACATCAATAGAAAGATTAAAAAAAACAGCCAAGGGGAGTGAAGGTTATTCAAATAGTTACTGGAAGGAATACAAAGGCAGAAGAGAATACATTACTACAGTGCTGGTAGAAATAAGGGTCCAGGAACCTGCTGATAGCAAGACATGGTACACTAATCCTATGTTTGTGTGCAGGTAATTGTTCCTTATCTTTATACTACTTATCTCCTCTTAGGAACTATACCCAGAAGAAAAATAAAGTTGAATTTGCTGTGAAAAAATAAAAATCACAGATATTATTATAAAATGTATTAATAGTAAAAAAAGTAAAATCAAGGGGCGAAAACACATGTTGCTGCCTATAAATAAAATTAAGGAAGCATGGACTTTTCAGAGGCAGAGAAGGTAAAAGCTTCCTTCAAATTCCTCCAACTGATGTTAGGGCAAAGGAAATGCTGCAGAAAGGATAAAGAGTCTGATTTCAGAAACTAAGAGATGAGACTCCCAGAATGTGGCTGTTCGGTTTTACCTGTTCGATTTTCTTTGATAGGGCAGGAACTGGAACTGTCTCTTGCTGTATCATGTCTGTGTCTCCTCTTTCTTCATTATCTGATATTTCTAGGAAGTACAAAGTTTGAGAATTAGAGCAGTGTCTCTTTGTCCCTCTGCTAGTGCAACTTTGGTACTACATTTTTTAAAAAAGAAGGTTCTATTTCTTGGTTCCATCTAAAATAGGGACAGTTTGAAGTATTAAAATGGTCTTTTTTTGTCTTGTTTCCATTTCCTGTAGTTCATTTTGATAAATATTATTTTGTATAATTAGATGCAGATAGGCATTGTGCCTCTGTGTTCTTCTGAGAATATCCTCCACTGGTCTCACTGTGTGTGAATGCCTAGAGACCTATATAATTTACTATGTCTTTGTGTATTTTAGATCTAGCTTCCGCATGCATTGTTTGTTTCTCTGAGTTTGGCTTTCCTCACTTAACATGATTTGTTCTAAGTCTATCCATTTCCTTGCATATCAGATGGCTTTATATTTTTAATCTGAAAATTTATCTGAAAATTTAATGATGAACTGTATGTCTAACACGATTAACTTTGTAACTTTCATTGTTATGGTCTGGATCTTTATAATCACCACTTCAAGAAGGATAGCCACTCCTGCTAAGTAAAACTAGAAATTCTAACACACACACACACTCACTCACACACACACACACACACACACACACATACACACAAAAAAGAGAAAAAGGAAGATCAGCTAGGGAACAACACAGAGGTGAGCTTCCTGGATTAGCTTTTTTACTCATTTTGTTACAGCTGAAGAAGCTAGCAGACTAGAAATACTACAGGGAACAGACCAAAAAAACAAAAAAACAAAAAAACCCCAAACCAAACCTACAAGTCTGCTCTCTTAAAAACAAACAAACAAACAACAAACAACGAAACAAAAGCCAAATCAGGAAAAGGGGAGCCTGGTATGACTAGAAGCTTTCATGTAACTATCACTTCACTCAAGCCAAACACAACAGGAAAAATTCTAGCCCCTTCCCAAAGGATACCGACCCAGCCAAGCTGTGACGACACTGTTCAACAATTCTTCCCTTTCCCACAACTGGGGAGTTGGGAGTGTCATTCCCAGAAGTTGGAAGCCTGAATTTTCTATGTTGTCCTGTTTGTAATGAAGGTTATCTTTCCCCCTCTTACTGGGATGATTTTGGAGGATTAATAGTAGAGAGTTAGGTATTTCTATACCACCCAACAGTAGTGAGGCCATGTATTAGTGGGCTTAACATCTACTAAAAAATCTAGAGAGAAGCACCATAAAGTATACTCATAAAAACTGAGATCCTAAAGAAAACACATGAAACAGTCAACAAACAAAAAAATGAAATGGCAGTTAACCCCAATGTATCAATGATTACATTAAATGTAAATGGTCCTTATACATACATACATACATACATACATACATATATATATACCAAGGGTGATGGAATGGATTAAAAGGAATAACCTTACTATATGCTGCAATAAGAAACTTACCTATAGGGACAGTAGGCAAGTTGAAAGACAGAAGAAGATATATGTGCAAATATTTGTCAAAGGAAAATGAATAACTTACAGGAGAATGAGGATATAATATAATGATAAAAGGTAAATCTGCTAAGAAAACACAGTAATCCTAAATATCTATCTAGCAAATAGTTAAGCTACAAAATATGTAAGCAAAACTGATAGGTATGAAAGAAGAAACAGACAAACACAGATCTGATACAAACTTTTATAATTCTTTCTCAAAAATTGAGAGAAGAAAATACTCCAATCCATAGCAACAGAGTACAAATTCAAATATCATGGAACGTATGCCAAGATAGGTTAATTATAGGTCAACAAATTAAAGAATGGAAATTGATAAAGACTATAAACAAAAATTTTCAATGAGTATCACACTTAATAAAGACTGAATATGATCCTGTTTGTGAATAAGGCAAGGATGTTAGCCCTCATCTGACTTGTTCAACATAGTGCTAGAATTTTTAACAAATATGTCCAGAAAAGGAAAAAATGGCATGTATATTAGAAAGAAAGAAATTAAACATCTTTTATTTGTAGATGATATGGTTGTTTAAAGAAATGTTCAGTCAGTCTTGTGGTACTAGGATTTGAATTTAGGGCCTTTTATTTGCTAGACAAGTGTTCTGTCCCATGAGTCATGCCTCCAGCTCTTGTTTGATTTAGTTATTTATCAGGTATGATCTTACATTTTTGCCTGGACTGGTCTCATACTGTCATCTTCCTACCTAAGACCTCCTGAGTAACTAGGATTGTAGATATTTGTGACTGTGCAATTGAATTTCACTAATTTTTCTTGCCTGGGCTGATTTTGAAGTATAAGCTTTCCCATATCTAACTCCTGAGTAGGATTACAGGGTAAGATTAAAGGTACAAGCCACTCTTGACCTCAAGATTCTTATATTACTTCACCACCCTATTGCCTTACTTACCTTTTTATTACAGAAGTAATGTATCTTCTTTTTGTAAAACATTAAATCCTCTTATGAGTTTTAACAATCACTTTAAGGTAAGAATTATTTACAGACACACAATTGCCAGAATAATTCTATAAATGTTTATAGATCAAGTAGTGATCTTAAGAAAATTCTGAGCTTTGTGTTTCTCTGTTTCTTAGGTGTGCTAATTTCTGAATATAATCTATATTTAGGTCTATATTTCTCTATTTCCTAGATCTTCTAAATTCTGAATTTGGTCTATAGTTAAGCACTGTAGTTGAAGATAAGCATCATATTTTAAAAGACTTTTATGCTCAGAAGAAATATTTAAAATATCTTGTTAATCAAATGCCCTAAATCTGAGTTCTTTTACCAAAAGATCATTTCATCTCTCAAACCTTTTAACATACAAAATGAGATTATCTCATATCACTGTAGTTAGAATAAGTTAGCTGTAAAAACGCTCCTCAACGGAAAGAACACTGCTGGAGGAATATCAATACCAAATTTCAAACTCTACTATAAAGCCATAGTAATCAAAACAGCTTGGTACTGGCATAAGAACAGACATCAGGACCAATGGAATAGAATTGAAATCCCAGAAATGAACCTACAGACCTATAGCCAACTAATCTTCGATAAGGGAGCTAAAATAATAGAATGGAAGAAAGACAGCCTCTTCAGTAAATGGTGCTGGCAAAATTGGTTAACTACTTGTAGAAAACTAAAGCTAGATCCTTATATATCACCCTGTACCAGAATCAACTCCAAATGGATCAAAGACCTCGGAGTCAAAACAGACACTCTGAAAACATTACAGGATGGAATAGGAGAAACCCTAGGTCTCCTTGGCAAAGGCCCAAATTTTCTTAATAGAGACCTGGAAACACAACAAATCAAAGAAAGGTTGGACAAATGGGATTGCATGAAGTTGAAGAGCTTCTGCATGGCAAAGGACATAGCTAGCAAGATCAATAGAAAGCCCACGGATTGGGAGAAGATCTTCACTAGCCATACAACAGACAAGGGTCTCATATCTAAAATATACTTGGAACTCAAAAAATTAAATCCCCCAACAACAAATCCTCAAAGAAACAACTGCCCAATAAATAAGTGGGCTAAAGACTTAAAGAGAAACTTCTCTGAAGAGGAAAGAAGGATGGCCAATAGACACATGAAGAAATGCTCAACCTCCCTAGCCATAAAAGAAATGCAAATCAAAACAACATTGAGATGCCAGTTAGATGGCAAAAATTAAGAATTCTAACAACAACAGATGCTGGAGGGGATGTGGACAGAAGAGAACCTTACTTCATTGTTGGTGGGAGTGTAAACTTGTTCAACCACTTTGGAAAGCAGTATGGAGGTTCCTCAAAAGACTTCACATAGAGGTCCCCTATGACCCAGAAATCCCACTTTTGGGCATTTACCCAAATGTTTACAAACAAGACCACACTAAAGCTACCAGCACGACTATGGTTATTGCAGCATTATTTACCATAGCTAAGATATGGAACCAACCCAGATGCCCCTCAGTAGATGAATGGATCAAGAAAATGTGGTATATATACACAATGGAATTCTATGCTTCCATCAGAAAGAATGACATTGCCCCATTTGTTAGGAAATGGAAAGGCTTGGAAAAAATTATATTAAGTGAAGTAAGCCAAGCCCAAAGAAACATAGGTCCCATGGTTTCCCTTATTTGCAATATCTAGTATATGTATGAGTCAAGCAGAAAAGGTCAGATAATGTGATGTTAGGAAAATGAACCCTTAGATATGTATTTAAGTGTTTTTTTTCTTTCATGCATTTGTTTCTAATGCATTTATAAGATTATTTCTTTGTTGCTTTGTATGTCCCTCCCCCACAGTATAACCGCTGCTTTCACTATATTTGATGTGGATATAATTTGTGGAGGAGATGGGGAAAAACAAGTCGTTTAAGGATACAGGTGGACCCGTTGCAACAATGAGAAGTACAAGTTGTCTTGTCGAAAACGAACTTTACAACTTTGGTTGGGGGGGGGGGGGGAGAATTGGGTGGGGGGGCAGGGGGAGGCTGGGAAGGGATGTGAAGGGTAAACAAAGGAGGCGGCTGCAATGCTTGATAAGAAATGTACTCATTATCTTGCCCATGTAATTGTAACTCCTCTGTACAGTATGTTCACCAAAAAAAAAAAGAAAAGAATAAGTTTGCTGTTTCCTTACACCATGATATTTTTTGGTTCCAAAAAAGAAAATTGTTTTTCTGAAGTGAGAATGCTGGCTCTGTTATTTCCATCAACAGAATATCGATTGAGAAATATGGAGATACAATATAGCCAGCTTGATTCCAGTACTCAGGCTCCTCCAAGACTACTGGGATTTGAGGCTAAGCCAGCCTGTGCCACTTGGTCCCAGTGCGTGATTCAGCCTATGAAGGGTATCACTAAGATAGCACTGCCTGTTTCTCAACTTCCTAAGGATTATATATATATCCCTAGCAAGGATTGGTTGGAATTTTCCAAGGGAGGAGTCAAGTACATTGTCCTTTTTCAACTTAAGGCAATAACAACAGTAAGTGAAAAGAGAATACTGCACATTCTTCCTTTCTGTC